CAGGTGGTTCCGGGTGGCAGAGCCAGGGCTGCGGCTGGCACGAGGGCACGTTGCCACTGCTCCGCCCAGGCCGGAGCCCTCTCTGCCCACCATCCCCGCCGAGTGTGTGCTGGCCCAGGCTGAGGCTGCCTTGAAATTCCAGCGCGCGAAGTGAGCTGATTCAGGTCCGCTCTCCCGGACTCCGCCTGCGCCCGTGGCCGGCTCCGCGCTCAGCTGCACCGGGCGAGGGGTCGTGCAGGGAGCAGGGGCAGCAAGGAGCCGGAAGCAAGGGAGAGCTCACCCGGGTGTGCTCCTCACGTGGCCTGAGCGTGGGGGAAGCCTGAGTGCTCGCCCAAGCCTCCCATTGTACAGATGGGAAAACAGAGGCTCGGAGGATCGGGAACTTGTCCAGGCTCACGGGTCTGGAACGACACCTGGTGATTTCCTGGGCAGTCCTTCCCAGCCAGAATCAAACCTGGTTCCAGAGGCGTTGAACACCCCTTCCACCGGCTGGTTCACTCCCCAAATGCCCCCCGTAGGCAGGGCTGGGCGTGGCTGAAGCCAGGAGCCCAGGACTTCACACGGGTCGCGTGCGTGGGCGGCAGGAACCCGAGTATTAGAGCCCCCACCTGCTGCCTCCCAGAGGGCGCATTCGCAGGAAGCTGGGGTCGGGAGCGGAGCTGGGACTCGAACCCGGGCCCTCTGAAGTGAGATGTGGGGGTCCCAAGGCACAGGTCAACCCCTGCACCACGCCCCTCCCTGCATCTCCCTGCAGATGGCGACCAGCAACCCCCTCGGGGGTCTGCGCAGCCCCTCGCTCCCCCGGGGTCCCTGGCTGCTCCCCAGGGCAGTCGCTCCTCACCTTGCATCCTGATCTGCCTGGCTCACATTTGTCACAACTGTATACCGGGGCCTGTATCCAGTGGGCACTTACTGTACGTGTGCCGAGTGGACAGTCGAGCGCAGAACTCCAGCCACCGCTCAGGAGAGGCAGCCTTCAGTCAGCCGTGTGTCCTGTCAGTCACAGGTTCAACCGCAGCACACAGCCGCGAACCCGCGGGGAAGCCCCACCCTGGAGCTGAGGGTCTTGGACAGGGTGAGGGGCGAGGCTGCTTTAGCCAGGACTTCAGGGAGGGCCTCTAGGAGGAGGTGACCTTGGAGCAGGGGCCCGAAGGCTGGGGGGGAGCAGCTCGGGAAGGTGCCGGCGGCAGGCACAGCCTGTGCAAAGGCCCTGGGGTGGCTGCAGCAGGGAGTGAGGGGAGTTGCGTTGGCGGGAAGGCGAGGTTAGGATGTCTCCCGCGCTTCTATTTGCCTGAGCGAGTCCGGTGACGCCCCTGGCCATGCCCTGAGAAGGCGAGAGCCTTGGGCTCGGGGCTGCCCCGGGCCCCTGCTGGAGCAGCCCCGCTGGCTTCAGGCAGCCGCCGCGGGACACCCATGCCGGCCCTGTGCAGACGCACGTTCTGCGTCCTGGGCTATTTTGCTGTTTCCTTTCACGCTGACCCGAGGGAGCTATTTTGGAAACTCGCGGAAGCAAACCAAGCCCTAGCTGGCATTAGAGAGGGCAGCAGAGCCCCAAGTAAGGGACGCGGGCACAGGAGCCACCCAGCCCCCAGGTCCCGCGGCGTTAAATTTAGAAGCCTCACCTCCAAATGAGGTGAAATTGCAGGTTCCTCCCGCGGGCGGGCGGAGGCGCAGGGCGGCGCTGGCCAGCAGTGAGCAGGACAGATTTAGTGGGAGTGGGCTCCGCGCCCTGCAGCTGCGCCCGGAGCAGCCGCCCGTGCGGGAAGCCCCCTTGCCAGCCCGGGGGTCTGACTGGCATCGTTCGAGTGTGCACTGCCCAGGGTGCCATCCAGAGCGAGGCAGCGGGGGACGCGGGAGTGGAAGAGGCCGTCCCGTCTGCCACCAAAGGTTTGGGACCTGCGCGCTGCTGGGTGCCGGCTGCCTGCGGCTTCCCCTGTGCCCCGGGCAGCCCAGCCCCCCAATCCAGCGGCTGAAGGAGGGGGGTGGCAGGAGGGCAGGGGTCTTCAAGGCCGGGCCAGGGCTCAGGCGGTGGGGACATCGCCCTCTGCGGCAGGAGATCAGTGTTGGTCAACCCTTGTCTGCTCTGCGACTGCCTGGCCCAGCAGGGAGGGACTGCAGCCGGCGGCCACAGGGGGCCTGCCCCACCAGACCCGGCCAGGAGGGGGCGCTGCTGGCCTCGCCTCGCGGCCGAGCTGCCTGCAGACCCCAAGGGGCCGCAGGGACCCAGGCCTCCCAGTGCTGGTGCCTGCAGGGGTTGGGCTGGGTTTTCCTGGGCCACCCTCTGGCACCCTTCCCCGTCTAGCCTGGCACGTCCCCTTCAGCTGCTTCCACTCTGGGTCGCTGCCCTCCGCCGCCGCTGGGGCCTGGCCCCCGGGAAGGGTGGATGTGTCCTCAGCGTCGCCGGGGGAGCAGGAGCAGCCCCGCCCTACGTGGCCGGGCGCAGGGGCCAGCTCTGGTGGCTCTTGGGGGAGTCATTCCTTTCCCCTCCCTCTGAGCCTCAGTTTCTTTATCTGCGAAATGGGCTAACAGTGCCCGCCCCTGGGTGCTGGGAGAGCAGAGAGCAGGCAGAGTGCTGGTTCCCCAGGGCTCAGGCCGGGGCCGGCCCATCCCCCCTCAGCAGCCGCTGCTGTTGGAAATAAGTGTCTGGGGGCCGCAGCCCTCCCCACGCGCTCCTGTGTTGCCCACGGCTGTCTGTGCTCCGGAGAGGCCAGGGGAGTCGTGGTGACCACAGCTCTCTGGCTGTGTGACCGGCGCCGGGCTGCCCAGCGCCCCAGCCCTTGCCCTCTGGCTCCTCGGAGATGCCCCGGAGGAGAGCGCCCTGGGCCCTGCTGGCACTCCAGGGCACGGGTCAGGGGCGAGGAGGGGCAGGCGGCCGGCGTGGCGGTTAAGCCCGGCCCGGGACGCCTACCCCATCTCGGAGCACCGAGTCTGTGTCTCGGCTCCGCCTCCTGTCCAGCTCCCTGCTGGCAGCGCCCTGGGAGGCAGCAGGTGACGGCTCAGGTCGCCGAGCCCCCGAGCCCCATGTCGGGGACCTGCAAAGAATTCTGGGCTCTCAGCTTCAGTGTGGCCTGGTCCTGGCCGTTGTGGGCATCTGGGCAGTAAACCAGCGGCCAGGTGGTTCGCTCTCTCCCTCTCCTCCCCTCTCCCCTCCTCCCTCCCCCTCTTCCTCTCCCCTCTCCTCTCTTCCCCATCTTCTTCTCCCTCTCCCCTCTCCTCTCTCTCCCCTCTCCCCTCCCCCTCCCCCTCCCTCTCCCATCTCCTCTCTCCCCTCCCCCCCCCCCCAATAAACAAGCACATTTATTTGAAAGGGCAGGGAGGTGTCCAGGAAGGCTCTCTGGGGGAGGTGACATCCAGGCTGGAAGACAAGGGTGGTTCACCAGGAGCCAACACACTCGGGGCAGCTGGTGGTGGTGGGGGGGGCAGACTTCAGCGTGAAAATGTGGGTCCCTGAGCCGCCGCCTCACCCGCAGAGCCGCGCTTTCCTCTTCCGGAAAAAGGGGGCACCGCAGCATTTCCGGGTTCGCGTGGGTAGGGGCCCCCGAATACCCGTTTGGTTAGGGGGTTTTTATCCCATTCGGCGCCTTCGCGGCTCGGACAGAGAGAGGGGAGACTCGAGTTGATTTATCATGGTTTGGTTGTGGGTGGAACTAGCTGGATCCAGGATAGCCTGGCCTGGCCCAGGACGATTTGTGAGCCAAGGATGCCCGAGACCCCCCCCAACCACAGGGCCGGGGGCTCCGTCAGCCTGCGCTGACCCCAAGCTCTGCCGTGTGCGTCCCGCGTGCCAGGGGCTCTGGGGACCTCGTTCCCTCTCCCGTTGTGACCACTGAAGCCCAGAGCCAGGGAGCAGAGCTCCGAGCCAGGGCTGGGCTCTCTGCTGTGCACGGTGCCTGGGGGTGGAGGAGGGGAAGGCTTGGGAGGGGCCGAGGGGGAACCGGGGCTGACTCGCAGTGAGGGGCAAAACGGAATCCCTCGTGGGGTTCCAGGCAGATGCCCAGAGGTGCACAGGAGCGTGGGCGACGGAGGGGCCGGAGACGAGGGTCTCGGAGGTGGTGACCTGGTAGGTTTGGGCCCTGGAACCCTCGGGTCCACGCCACCCTGGCTGTGGACACAGCAGCAGAGATTTAGGCTAGATATAAAGGAGAACTTTCCAACTGCTCCTGCTGGACATGCCGGCCTTCAATTCCCAAGGGAGGCGGTGGCAGGTTTCCAATCCTGAGACGGAAAAAAGAGAAGGCAGCCCGGGCTCTGGGCTGGCCTCCCTGGAGCCTGGGTCAGAGACTGGGGGACAGACTGAGGGTGGCGGCAGCCCCCGGGGACAGCAGTCTGGCCTCATGTCAATCACGCTTTGTCACCCTCTGCTCAAAAGCCCCCCATGTCTCCCAGCTCCCCTGGCCTGAGTGCGAGGCCAAAGCTCTCCCGAGGGTCACCAAGGCCCCTGGGGCCCCACCCTCTGCCGGCCCCTCCAGCCTCACCTGGGGCCGTGGTCCAGCCCACCGAGCTCTGTGTATTACATGGCCTTCGCTGTGCTGTTCCCGCTGCCTCTCACACCCTTCCCGCCCCACCCCTCCCCCTCTACCCCTGCCCCGGGCACCTCCTCCATAGCTGGGTCACACCCCAGTCCAGGATCCCGTCACTTCTCGGCAGACCCCACACTGTGGGGCCCCCGTGGTGCTCTGGTCTCCTCACAGACCCAGACCTGGGCCCCGAGGGCCGGCCGCTGCCTGCCTGCACGGTGCGTGTCCCCAGCACGCTGTTTCGCACCCAGGAGGTGTGGGTGGGGGTTTGTGGGGGCCTCTGGAGAGGAGCCCTGCAGGGAGGTGAGGGAGGTGCAGTTCCCCACTCCTCCACAAGGTGGCGCTGCTCTGCATCAGGCGCCAGGCTGGAGACCTGGGTTCGAGACTTGCTCTGTCCCTCTCCCCAAGCAGGGCCGCTAACCCCCAGAGCCCCAGTCTGCCCATCTGGGAGCCGGGGATGACTCTTCTGCCCTGTCCCTGCAGGTGACGGCCATGTCGGTGAGGGTGCGGTTCCTGTCCCCCGGGGACGCGGCGGCCGTGGGGGCCGTGGGCCGCAGCGCCTCCTTCGCGGGCCTCAGCAGTGCGCAGCGCCGGCGGATCGCGTAAGTCCTGGGGCGGGCAGGGCGCCGCCTCCTGCTCTGGGTGACCCTGAGGGTTGTCCTGGAGCCCGGCGGCGGTGCGGGACAGAGTGGGCATGCGTGGAGAGACCTCTGCTTTCCTTGAGACGCGGGCAGTGATTCTCACAAAGGCTCTGCAAGTTGATCTGAAAACAGAAGCTCAGAGAGCTTGAGCCACTCACCCAAGGTCACACAGCAGAACCGGTCCAGGGTTGGGACATTGCCTCCCAGGGCCGGGCTGGGAAGGAATGTGCCTTCTGTTTGGTGCACCGGGCAACGGGGCCGCCTACCCTGGCTCTGTGGCCTGGGGTGGGTGACTGCGTCTCTCCAAGCCTTGGTTTCCTCATCCAAAAAATGGGACCCAGGAGGGCGCCCCCCTCACAGGGAGGTTCAACAGGACACCATGCAAAAGGCAGGCGGCGTGACGGTGCAGCGTGGTGGCCGCTGGCTGGCAGCTGCACACGGCCGGGGCTGTGGGGAGCTCTCGCCGGGGACGCACGCCGGTGCAGGGCGGGCCTGGCTGTCGGCGCCAGCCCTCTGGCGGTGACTACACTGGGGACGGCCAGGGCTGGGCCATGCGTGCCGTGGCCCCGGCAAGTCCCTGGCAGGTGCAGTTCTGCTCCGGGGACCCCAGCCCGAGGAGCCCCACCTGCCTGCCCCCGGCTCCGGGGCCTCGAGTCTGGTTTCAGGCACCGTGCAAGCCCCCAGGGTCCCACCCCCGGCAGGGCAGGCCTGGAGGGCGGGGCAGCTTTTCAAGCATCTGACAGCCCCCAGCCCCTGCCTGTTTCAGCAAGTAGGTGGGCGCATGGGGGTCCCCAGCCAGGGCAAGCTTGGTCAGTGAGTCGGTCAACAATCAAATCTCCCCTCCCACTCGCCTCTCTCTGGCCAGCTCCCTCCCGAGGTGAGCACCCCAGAGTTGAAATCCAGGGGCGTCTCAGCAGGACGCGCCCCTGAATCCCTGCTGACTCAGCAAGTATTCATAGGGCGCCTCCTTGGGCCAGGCCCGGCCCGGGCTCTGGGAACAAATCCAAGCCCCACCCTCCTGGCCCTGCTGTCCTCAGTGGGCAACAGAGACTAAGCCAACAGTACTCAAGACAGAGGCGCAGGTGGCAAGTGTGGTGGAGACACCGGGGGGGGGGGCAGCCAGGCTCTCCAGGGGCCCGTTTCAGTGAGGAGGTGGGGGAGGTGCAGAGGGGGTGTGGGTGGGGCAGCCTGGGTAGCCGTGGACACCCGGGCACCCTCCTGGGCGCCCCCATGGAGCCTGGGCTCATTCTGTGTCCCAGAGCTGCTGTCACCTGGCCTCAGCTCCTCTGCACCCTGGGGAGACAGGAAGGAGCATGCTGGTCCTCACTTCCTGTCTCCGCCCACGCCCCGGGGTCTGGACAGGGCTGTTTGAAAAACTCATTATTTGCTTAAGACAGAGCAGAGACAGAGACAGGGCTCTTCCGTCTACTGGTTCACTTCCCAGACGCCCACCGCGGCCGGACCCAAGCCAGGGGCTGGGAACTCAGCCCAGGGTTCCCACGGAGGTGACGGGGGCCGGGGGCCTGAGCCGCCGCCTGCTGCCTTGCGGGGTGCACCTCAGCAGGAAGCTGGAGTCTGAGAGGAGCTGGGGCTGAAACCCAGGCCCTGTGACACGGGCGGGGGCGTGCGCGGCGGTGTCAGCTCGCCCCTAGAGAGCGCCTCTCAGTCCTCTGTCGGTGAGGTGGGGCATTTTATACTAAGGTGTCAGTGACTGCTATAATAAGTCATGTCCATTTGGGGGCGCTGGAGCACAGAAGGAATGAGGGAGACTGAGGGCTGAGCCCTGACCCTGTGCTGACCCCTCCCCAGCCAGGCAGGTACCCCCAGGGCCAGGAGCCACTGCCGTGGGGCTGAGTGGGGATGGCTGGGAAGCGTGGATCTGAAAACTGAGTGGTGTTGCCTGGCTTCCAGGGAGGAGGCGGCTCACACCCGGCGTGGAGCAGCTCGGGGCACAGCCTTGGGCCGGCGGGACCCAGGAGGCCAGGCTCGGGCTTTAAAGCCCCAGGGGCAGAACCTGAACAGTGCGGCGCTGTGTGCGGCGCTGTGTGTGTACCTGTCGCTGTCACCCAGTGCCACCTGACGCCGCGCTGAGGCTGTCAGTCGGTCCTGCCCCTGCCTTCCTGGCCCAGCCCCCTCCGCCTCTCATGCTTGCACCTGTAGCAGCCACACCCGCCGGCCAGCTCACGTGGGGGCCTGGGGCCGCGGGTCGCACGTGCCCGTCCGCATTTCCGAATGGCAGGCCGGGGGCTGTTTAATATTTACTGAGTGCTCCCTCCTCCCAGAGCTGGTGAGATATCCACCCCCGGCAGCTGCTCCCGGCCCCTGCGTGTGTGACACCCGGGCCAGACACGCAGCCTGGTTTCACCATCCGCAGGCCACATGGGAGTGGCCAACGCGCTGGTCCTGACGCACCCTGGACAAGGAGCGTGGGGCTCAGGGCTCCCGTGGGAGCTGGTGCCTCCTGGTGCGGCGGCGGCAGCGGCGAGGAGGAGGGAGGTTTCCAGGCGCATGGGAGGGGGCCCAGGCGGGGGCCAGTGCACCCCGGGAGCTGGCGGTGCGTGGGCTCCCCAGTGCCGTCTCTGAGCTGCCTGTGCGCCTGGTGCGCGCTGAGCCTGTGCCCCGGCCACAGCCCTGCCCTCTGCCTGTTTGCCGGCCTGGACATGGCAGCCTTGTGGAGGACCTGTTCCAAGAGGTGGGTGATGTGATGGGGGGGCCCAGACCCGGGGGGCTCAGCCCCTCGGGCTTCAAGGAGGGCACTGGACCTGTGAACTGGGTGAAGAGCAGCCACGGCCGACACGGCCCGAGCACCAAGGCTGCGACGGCTTTGCCGGGGCTCCGAGCCTGTGACCCCACTGCCGCCTGACTGTGGACCCTCCTCTGCTCCTGCCTCCGCTATATTGTTGCTCCCTCCTGCTCCGTGCTCGGGCCTTGCACAGGGTGCCGGCTGATGGATGACTTTCAAAGCCCAGGGCAGGTTCACCGAGCCACACGCCCTCCCCCCTCCCCGCCAGGTGTCGCGGGAAGCCCTCTGCCTAAGCCTCCCGGCAGCTTTGCCCTGCTCTGGGTGCCGCAGATGAGAAAGCAGAGGCACAGAGAGGTTCGGCGACTTCCCTGAGGTCGCACAGCTCCGTAGGGGGCAGGGCTGGCTGCAGACCTCAGTGTGTGGCTCTTGTTCTAACCGCTTGCTGCCTGCCAGCTCCCGGGTGGGTGCCTGGAACAGTGTGCCCAGCAGGTGCTTGGTGTGTGTCTGCTGACAGCCGTTGCTAAGGAGAATGGGGCTGCGGGCGGGGTTAAGTGCCAGGGGCCGCTGGGGCTGGATGTGTGGCCCGGCCACCAGGCCAACAGGATCCCCAGCTTGGGGAGTCCCCTGGGGTCCCGGGCAGGCTGCCAGCCAGTCGGGCATGCTGGCGTACAACCGGGCCGAGGCTAGGGGACGCTCGGGCGTGGGGCTCGGTCCTCTGGGCCGGGTACACAGTGGTGTCTCATGTGTGTGTGGCACGCGCGGCATCTTGCCCTGCTGGAAAAGCAGCCTGCCACAGCTGAGCGTGCCGGGGCCAGGCGGGGCAGCAGCCTCTCGGAGCTGGCCAGGGCGCTGGACTGGCCCTGCGTGTCCCCTGCCTGTTTCCCCGGGGCCTGCCCCTCCCCCCAACCCCAGGACCCTGGGGGAGGAGCCAGGCCCCGCTCCCCTGTGCACACCCCTGTGAGGGGATCCTATGCCCTGGATCTTCAACCTTGGACGTCAGCAGACTTGGAAGAGCTCTGGGAAGACTCGGAGCTGCGTCTCCTTAGCTTAAGGAGATCTCCCGAGTGGAGCAGAAATGGGGGCTCCCGAAGGCCGAGGCTGAGGCCACCGGGACAGGTTAAGAAAAATGCACATCTCCCGGGGCCCACACACCTTGTGACTGACTAAATTCCCACACCCCTGGGGCCCACCACTGTCTCCTTCCTTCCTGGGTGTTTTCCCGGGCCCCGGCCCCCAGGGTGGGGGGCCGAGAGATTTCCAAGGGTGAAAGGGATTGGAATCCCCTCCGGGGTCCGGGGGTGTCTGCTCTGCTGCCTGGGAGCTGCACAGTCCCGGGCGCCTCAGTTTCCCCGCTCTGCAATGGGTTAAGATTAGCACCTGCCTCACAGGGCGAGGGTGGAAGGAAACGGTTCCGAGGAGCCCTGGGCAAGCACCTGCCGCAGCAGTGCCGTGTGGCCGAGTGACGCGCTCAGGACCCGGGGCTCAGGGTGTGGCCGGCCTGCGTCCAGGTCGTCTGCTCTGGGGACTCCTGGTTGTCACTGCCAAGTGCCAGGAACTGGACCTCCCCTGGAGCTCACCTCCCCCGTCCCCTGCCCGGCCTGGTCCCCTCCTTCCTCTCCGGCCCCCACAGGCCACGCCCCTTTCTCCCTCTGCCTCATTCACTCTGTCCCCGACCAGGAACACCCCATGGGCTGTGCCCACGGCCCATTTCTCCTCTCGAGGTCCAGCTGCGAGTTGTGAGTCTGGGTCTCTGTTCTCCGGTGCAGAGCTGGGTGGTCACTGAGCACCTGCTGTTTTCCAGGCTGTGGGAGTGGGGGGGAGACAGACAGGATGCGATGACCACGCCGCTGGCTGACCTGCAGAAAGCACCAGCATTGCGCCAGCGGGGCGCCTGGGGTCCAGTGGAACCCCCAGGGCGATCTCTGATGGAGCGTCTGTTACCCCATTTTACAGCTGGGAAACCGAGGCTTGGGGCGGGAGCTGGGTGGGAAAAGGAGCCCCAGCTTGCAGGCGCTGGAGTGGAGCAGGTGCCGGGTCTGCTCCCCGAGGCTGCTCAGCCCTCAGAGGGGCCTGGGCTGGAGCTGCTTCCGGGGCACCCGGGGCAGGGGAGTCGGAGAGAGGGCTGGCTGCTCCACTTTAAGGATTGGCATGGAAGTTATCTTTTTCCTTTAAACTTTATTTATTTGAGGGGGGTGGGAGGGAGAGAGGAAGAGGTGTCTTCCATCTGCTGGTTCACTCCCCAGATGGTCCCAATAGCAGCCAGAGCTGGGCCAGGCCAAAGCCGGAGCCACCTGGGTCTCCCACACGGGCGGGTGCCGCAGCCCAAGCACTCGCGCCGTGTTGCACTGCTCTCCCAGGTGCGTTAGCAGGGAGCCGGCTCAGAACCTGTGCTCACAGGCGGGGGCTAACCCACGGCAGCACAGCGCCGGCCCTGGGTGGCGTCCGTTCTGAGTCATTTCCGCCCACAGCCCTTCTGTGATACGTGGGCATCTGGGAGATGTCTGCAGGATGTGGAGTGGACTCCAACACAGCTGGTGCTGAGCGCAGGCTGCGCCAACCGGCCTGGCCCCCGCCAACCAGCCTCGTCCCCCACCAACCAGCCTGGCCCCCGCCAACCAGCCTGGCCCCACCAACCAGCCTCGTCCCCCCGCCAACCAGCCTCGTCCCCCCGCCAACCAGCCTCGTCCCCCCTGTCAACCAGCCTCGTCCCCTTGCCAACCAGTCTGGCCCCCGCCAACCAGCTGGTCCCCCACCTGTTGGGTGAGCCCCAGGAGCTTAGAGAGGGCCCCACACCAGGGCAGCCAGCTCTGCGCTGGGTTGAGGTGCCCTGACCCTGCACGACTTAGTCCCCAGATCCTGCTTTGTCTCTGAAGGGCAGGGAGACCCAGCTAGGAGGCCTGCATTCCTAGGGCTCACCCACTCCTAGGTGAAAAGGAGCCAGCAGGCTCATGTTGCAAGGCCATGGGCAGCTGCAGGCAAAGCTGGATCCAGGAACACTGTCGTGGATTTGGTCTGATCTCTGTTGGCTCCAGTGGCAGAGGGAGGCTGGGAATCCCAGCGTGTGTTTGCCGGCTTAGCCATGCCGGTGGGAAAAGCCTGCTGCGTCTGAGTTCTCACTGAACTCTTCGCTGGTTCCTGACCAGACTAGCGACCCGTGCTGCTTCCTGGGCCAGGGGAGTGGGGTTTGTTGACTGACCCAGGCCCGGGGTGTGGTTGGCCTCAGGGTCCCCGTGTGTACAAGTGTGCTGGCTTGGTGAGAGGTCAGGCTATCATACCCCCAGAACCACTCATGTCAAAAGCAGAGCTGGGGCGATGCCCCAGAGGGAGATCGGATGCGAGGAGTGGAGGCTGCTGGCAGGCCAGGCCCACAGGTGCCAGGCAAACCGCAGGGCTACGGCTCGGCCTCCCTCCCAGCTTTGCCTGCACACACAGCGGGCTGATGCGAGAGCTTGGCGTCTGGTTGTCCTGTGTCTAAGCGCCTTCCTGGTACCAGGCTTCTGTTCTTTAAATCCATAAATCCAGGTCCCTTATTTAAATATGGGGAAACTGAGGCCCAGAGAGTCCCAACTTTCTTGAGAACCGCCCCACCCCCCCCAGCTTGGAGGGCTGGGGCTGGGACCCAGCAGGGTCTCCCGACCCCCTGGGCCTTCCCTGGGGGAGCCCCGTCCCTTGCCCTGCCCTGACCCCCCCGCTCTCCTCCCCTCCTCGCAGGAAGGGCAGCAGCAGGAGCTCCGTGAGGTCACGGACGCCCGTCCGCGCATCCAGGGCGTACGGCACGCTGCGCAAGGGCTCCGTCTGCCTGGACCCCAAGCCTCAGCAGGTGAAGCGGATCTTCGAGGCGCTGAAGAGAGGCCTCAAGTAAGGACGCCGGTGCCTTGGGGAGCGGGGGACCGAGGCTGGGCCGTGTCTGGGAGCGGCCCCTGGGTTTTAGCTCAGGCTCGGGGCTTGCGAGGCGCTGGGTGCAAGGGGGACAACGTGGAGAAGTCCTTGACCTCGTGGCGCCTGGTGGGGGAGCGGGGCCATGTGGAACACATAGTGTACCTGACGGCGGAGGTTTGGGGAGATACGGGTCAGGGCGAGAGGTACAGGGGTCGTGCAGGTGCGGGTGCTGCCTGGGGGCTCCGGGTTCCACAGTCGTAGAAGCCTGAGTGGGTGACAGAGTGAGCCGTGCAGAAGTGGGAGAATGCCGCTGGCCCAAGGAGCTGTGAGTGCAAAGGCCCTGGGGCACGGCTAGAGTGGGAGGTCAGAGGGCAGGGCCAGGTGCTTGGGGCCCTGTAGGCTGTGGTGAGGCCCCCGGTGCTGGGTCTGGGTGAGCCACCGAAGGCAGGCAAGGACCCACACTCTGTCTCCTGGTGCCAGGGAAGAGGGGTTTCTGGGGTGATTTCTCCCCCACCCCCAGTGCTGGGGACTCCACTGCTCCACGCGCCCCCGTGTTGCGTGCCCACAGACCGTGGAGTGGCTCCCGGATTCCAGGCTGTGGCCCCTGCCTCCATAGTGCCACCCCTGCCCCTGCTCCCGTCTCCGCCATGGCTCCCTGTTGCCCTGGGAGGGCGCTCAGGGTCGGTCCAGCCTCCACAGTGTGCCCCCGCCCCTGCCCCCGTCTCCGCCATGGCTCCCTGCTGCCCTGGGAGGGCGCTCAGGGTCCGTCCAGCCCTCTGCTCCCCGGACCTCCTCTCATTGCTCCCCCCTGCTCCTCTCGCCAGCCACACGCTCGGCACCTGTCACTCACTCTCAGCAGCAGCCCTGCTCTGCCCTGCGTCCCTGAGCCCTTCCGAGAGCCGTGTGGGACCCCTGCACCTGCCTTCCAGGGGAGGGAAGTGTGGCTGGTGGGGGAAGTGGCCGTCTGCCACCCCAGACCGGGAAGCAGGAAGTGCTAGAAGCTGCCAGAACCACTCCTCAGCCTGCCCCTCCCCCACGCACCTGCTGGGCCTGCCCCCCCAGCCCAACCCTCACCTTCTCCTGCCACCCACACTGCCCCTCGGTGCTGCCACAGCTGGTGGGGGTCTCCCCCCTACACGGGGGCTCCCCTCCCAGGGTGGCTTGCAGGGTCCCCTTCCAAGGGCTGGTTTGAGATCCAGCGTGCAGCGGCCGCCCCTTTCTCCTGGGGGGCCTGCCCTGGGGGAGGTGTAAGCGGCCCTCTGGGGCGACCCAGCCGCTTCCTGGTGGAGCCACCATGGCTGCCTCGGTGCTGTCACAGGGCCTGGCTCAGCGGCACGGGCTCCCTGGGGCTCGCGGTACGCAGAGGGGGGCACTGGCTGGTCTCAGGCCTGGCCCAGCCCCCTCCTCGCGTGTGGCCCAGTTTGCAATAACAATGCAGGGGGTGGGGGCAGGGAGGAGAACATGCTGGCCTCCGGCCTCCACTGGGGTTGATGTCTCTGTCCCGGGGCCGCCGTCCCTCTCTCTCTGTCCTGGGGCCACTGTCTCTCTCTCTCTGTCCCAGGGCTGCTGTCCCTCTCTCTCTCTGTCCCGGGGCCGGGGCCGCCGTCTCTCTCTCTCTCTCTCTGTCCCGGGGCCGCCGTTCCTCTCGTCCCTCTCTCTCTGTCCCGGGGCCGGGGCCGCCGTCTCTCTCTCTCTCTGTCCCGGGGCTGCCATCCCTCTCTCTCTCTGTCCCGGGGCTGCCGTCCCTCTCTCTCTCTGTCCTGGGGCCGCCGTCCCTCTCTCTCTGTCCCGGGGCCGCCGTCCCTCTCTCTGTCCCCGGCTGTTTCTCCACCTTCGGCTCCTCCTGCTCTCCCGCAGGGAGCACCTGTGCCTGCAGCAGGCCGAGCTGGATTACCTGTGTGGCCGTCACACAGACACGCGGAGGAACTCCAGGCTGGTGAGAACCACCCCCCCACCTTCTCCTGGCTGCCAAGATGGACCCCCCCTACCCCCGGCCTCAGTCAGGGGTCTGGGGACTCAGAGACACGGGGAGCAGACTCCTGAGATGCGTGATCCTCACCTTGACCCCGACGGGTCTGACCCTGCACTTAGACACAGGTCAACCAGATGCCAAGCTCTCACTTCCCCCTCTGGCCTAGAGATGCCTGGGAGGGGGCAGGGGCCTGGAGTCCTGGCCGGGGCACCCTGGAACAGGCTGGCCTGTGTGGTGCCTGGTGGGGAGTCTTGGCTGCATCCCAGTGGCCCTGCTGCTGTGCTGGACCGAGCCTGGTGCCCCGTGGCAGGCTGCCGGCAGCTAAGCGCCACCGTGGGGCAGTATCTTTGAGACTGGCCTTGGCCGTGTGTAGCCAGAGGCTTACTGGTCTGGAGCTTTTGCCTCCGCCATGAGCAAAGCCAAATCCAAAGCCAAGACTGAAAAACTGAGGCGTCCTGTTGACTTGAGTTTCAGCAAAACCAATGTTTAAGTACAAGCAGATCCTGTGTGATCTTGGGGACACACAGCGAATTGTTCTTGCTTACGGGGGACGTGAACTTGGACTGGGTGTCCTGTGCCTTCCTGGGCGGCACCGCCAGGCCTCCCCCACCCAGGGTTGCTCCTCCCTCCTCCCCTGCGCTGCTCTGTGGCCTTGCGAAACCCCACCCGCCCCTAATAGATTCCTCCTTGGAAGCCTGAGCTGTGGGCCTGGTGCCTGTGGGGTTCTCCCCCCGAGGTGCCCAGTGTAGAGCGGCCACCGGGCACGGGAGCACGGGGCGGGGGAGACGACACGCAGAGCCTGCTTGAGGGCTGGAGAGGGGTGCGGGGGGGCCTGAAGCTTTCTCTCCTTGTAGCCCCAGCCCCATCTGGATCTAGGCAGGGTGGGGGAAGGGAGGGCCCCCAGCCCATGTGTGGGAGGCGAGCTCTGGCACACTCTGCCTCGCCAGGCCCCGGGGTGGGGCAGCTGGCCTGTGGCCAGTGCATATGGGGGGAGGAGGTCCTTCCGAGACCCCAGCTCCACCCCACGTCCCAGCAGTCACCCTGCCCGGGCTCCCCCACCCCCGGGACCGCAATTCCCACACCGGAGCCCCTCCCCTCCCCCTCTGGTTCTGTTCTAAGGGAGGCAGGTTCGTTTGTGTTAAGGCCCCATTTCACAGACGGGCACACTGAGGGCAGGGCTCTGCTTCCCTGCACCGACCGCACCCTCGCCCCTGAACGAGGGCCGGAGCACCCCGCCATCCCCACAGCCCCGACCTCTGCCCTCCAGCCACCCACCTACGCGTCCTGGCCTTGGCCGAAGCCGCCCCTTACCGCAGGGCAGGGGGGGAGTCTTGTCTCTGCCGAGGGCCCTGTGGGTCTTTTTGACATCTGTCCCAGGCCACACAAAATGATCAACGTTAACCTGCTAGAGATTTATTGAATTTATTTTTTTTTAAGATTTATTTATTTATCTGAAAGGCAGAGTTAACAGAAAGAGGAGAGAGACAGAGAGAAGTGTTCTATCTGCTGGTTACTCCCCAAATGGGCACAATGGCTTCTTCCAGGTCTCCCACACAGGTATAGGGGCCCAAGCACTTGGGTCATCTTCCACTACCTTGCCCAGGTCATTAGCAGGGAGCTGGATCAGAAGTGGAATAGGGGCCAGCACTGTGGCATAGCAGGTAAAGCCACCACCTGCAGTACCGGCATCCCATATGGGCACCGGTTCGAGTCCCAGCTGTTCCACTTCCAATCCAGCTCTCTGTTGCAGCCTGGGAAAGCAGTGGAAGATGACCCAAGTCCTTTGGCCCCTGCACCTACGTGGGAGTTCTAGAGGAAGCTCCTGGCTTCAGATTGACCCACCTCTGACCATGGCAGCCATCTGGGGAGTGAACCAGCAGATGGAAGACCTCTCTCTCTCTCTCTCTCTCTCTGCCTCTGCCTCTCCGTAACGCTGCCTTTCAAATAAATAAATCTAAAAAAAAAAAAAAAAAAAAAAAAGTGGGGCAGCCGGGACTCGAACCTGCATCCCAGTGGCCCTACCTGCTCTGCCACAGCGCTGGCCCTGATTAGTTGAATTTCGAGTCCCACCTGCAGCTGCCCTGGCAGGGCCGGACCCGGAGATTCCGCGGTGTTCCACGGCCAGGCGGGCAGACCCTTCCCACCCTGCCTCACACCGTCGGTCACAAGGGTGCCACCTGGCTGGGTGCTGCCCAGGCCCTGTTCTACACCCGAGGCCCAGAGAGGTTGAGTAACTTGCCTGGGACACGCAGCTGGGGACAGATGGAGTGGGACCCAGGGCTGCCGCCCCCAGCACGCGCGTGTCTGCTCGCTCCCAGTGGCCTGGCCACAGCACGGAAGTCTGCGCCGTGGGAGGGGCAGGGCGGGCGGGGACCTGGGCTCCGCCTCCGCAGACCCTGGGCTCCCAGGCCTCGGAGAAGCGCGGGGCCCCAACGCCGCTCCCTTCCCGTTCGCCCTCACAGGCCTTCTACTACGACCTGGACAAGGTGAGCGAGACCCCGAGGGGGCGGGGCCTGGGCACTCAGTCCTCTGGGCTGCCCCACGGGGGGCCCCCTGCGCCTCCTCTCCAGCTTTCAAGTGGGCTCAGCTGTCTGGGGGTGGCGAGGGCTGCCTGGCACCGAGCCCGGAGGGGGCAGGGCGCCGCGGCTTCCTCTAAATGCACTTTCCTCGCTGTGCGTGGGGAAGCACACGCGCTCCGTGGAGAGGCACATTCGGAAGATGGAGTTTCACATCAGCAAGGTCAGGCGCTGGGGCGGGGCCGCTGGGGGCGGGGCCGCTGGGGCGGGGCCGTCGGGCGCTGGGGGCGGGGCTGCTGGGGGCGGGGCCTCCGGGCGCTGGGGGCGGGGCGGGAGGCCGCTCCGACTGCAAGCGACCCCCGGCCTCGGGCCAGGCGGGACTGAGAGTTGGTCCAGAGAGACCTCATGCTTAATTCTAGAAGGCTGGAGAGGCTGAGTCCACCCACCCCATTATACAGACAGGAAAGTAGAGGCCGAATAAGGATTTTCCAGGGCCACATGGCAAGTCCCTTTAGCCTGGTGGTGCACAAAGCCTTGCACCCCCTTGCTTTACCCCAGTCCCCTTAGGCGGCCCCGTTGGCACAGCCCCACCCCCTGCCTTACGGTTGAAAAGCCAGGCTGAGAGGGAAGGAGCCCGCCCCGCCCGTTTGCTTAGTGCCCGCTGTGCACCTGCTGCGGGCGGGCTGCCGGGTGCTGGGGGACAGAGCGGCCCTGCCCCCATGCCACGCGGGCGCAGCCAGGGCTGGGCCGGGGCGGCTGCGTGGGCGGTGGTGCCCACGGGCTGCGTGCGGCGCAGGTGGACGAGCTCTACGAGGGCTACTGCATCCAGTGCCGCCTGCGCGAGGGCGCCTCCGCCATGCAGCGGGCCTTCTCCCGGTGCCCACCGAGCCGCGCCTCCCGCGAGAGCCTGCAGGAGCTGGGCCGCAGCCTGCACCAGTGCACCGAGGTGGGCGGGGGCCGGGCCTGGCCCGGGGGCTCCTGGGACCCGAGGAGGCTGATGTGGGGGGGGGCTCCTGGGACCCAAGGAGGCAGATGCGGGAATGGTGCACCCCCAGCGCATGGCCCCTCCCCCCACTGCACGCAAGGACGTGTGACCCCCAGTGTGCGCCCCTCCCCCAGCGTATGCATGACCGCCCCCTCCAGTGTGTGCCCCCCAGTCTGTGCGTGGGTGCGTGCGCCCCCAGCGCGTGCCCTACCCCTGCGTGCCGGCCTGGCTGATCCGCCTGCTGGGGCTTCGCAGGACATGTGGGTCATCGAGGGCGCCCTGGAGCTCCACCTGGGCGACTTCCACGTCAGGATGAAGGGTAAGGCCCTGGCGAGCGTGCGTGGGGCTGGGGGCTCTGAGCCTGCTGCGGGGGTAGGGAGAGCTGGCCGGGACCCCAGAGTCCAGGGCAGCCCTGGCCTTCACGCTGGGTGGCCTGTGGCCTCCAGGAAGCCGCGGTCTCTGAGCCGGAAGCCGAGTGAGCCTCGCTTTGGGGCACCCGTGGGGACCTGTGACCCCCACACAGGGGCAGAGCGGCTGTGTTTGTGTTCCAGGCTTGGTGGGCTACGCACGCCTCTGTCCCGGAGACCAGTACGAGGTAGGGCCGCCCTCGGTGGGGAGGAGGGGTCTGACCTCAGGGTCAGGGGCCGACCTGGCAGGTGGGGGGTGGCTGATGCAGCCCCTGGCCCGCAGGTGCTCATGCGCCTGGGCCGCCAGCGCTGGAAGCTGAAGGGCCGGATCGAGTCGGACGACAGCCAGACCTGGGACGAGGAGGAGAAGACGTTTGTGCCCACCCTGCACGAGAACTTGGAGATCAAGGTCAGGGGTGGGGCCTGGGCGGAGCCAGAGCCCCCCCCCCCGGGGGTGCTTGCCTCAGGGTCACCTCTGACCTCTGACCCCCACCGCCCAGGTGACCGAGCTGCGGGGCCTGAGCTCGCTGACGGTGGGCGCTGTGACGTGTGACATCGTTGACTTCTTCTGCACGCGGCCGCAGCTCGTGGTGGTGGACGTCACAGAGCTGGGCACCATCAAGCTGCAGCTGGAGGTGCAGTGGAGGTGAGGGCGGCGCCGGCCACGCTGGGGCCCTGGTCGCCTGCCACTGCCGCTGCCACCTGGCTTTGTGGCTCTGCGTCCGTGCCCACCTTGGAGCCCCCCCCACCATGCCAGCTGCCCAGGGGGAGGGTGGAGGGCCTGACCACACCCTGGGCCTGGCCCGAAGTGGGGACCTGGGGTCCCTGCCATCAGCCATCTTGGGCTCTCCTCAGCTCCCAGCCCACACGCCCACGCCCTCCGAGTTGTGATTTTTTTTTTTTTTTTTTTTTTTGGACAGGCAGAGTTAGAGAGAGAGAGAGACAGAAAGGTCTTCCTTCCGTTGGTTCACCCTCCTCTGGGCCCGCCAGTCGCAGTCCCTCCCTTCCTTGGGGTCTCCGGAGCAGCCGCTGTCTCCCCCGTGAGCTGGGTGGGTTTGGGCGCCAGAGCCGGAAGCTGCGGGGCCGAGCCGGCCTCTTGCCCGAGGTCGTCTGTTGACTTGGGAGCCCCATGCGTGTGCAGGGCCGTGGGCCACGCAGCAGCCTCCGCCCCGGGGTCAGGCCACTCCAAGGACCCGCGCTCCCGCTGGCCCGCAGAGCTCCCCCCCCGCCCCCCACAGGCAGGACGGTGTCCGGAGGAGGTGCCCCGGAGTGCTGCTCCTCGGGCCCTCGTGGTCAGGCTGGACCAGGTCACTTCGCGCCAGGCCTCCGTGCAGATGTGCGCCCGCATTGGGGGAGGCCCTGAGGGCGCCCTGGGACCGTGGTGGCCCCGTCCCCGCCTGTGCCCTCGGGGTCAGTGGGGTCAGTGGCATTTGCAGAGTGGGCTGGGGGCTGACAGTGACATAGGGCTGAGTGCCTGCTGTCCCCACTGGGGGACCCCGCGGTGGCTTGAGCCAGCTGCTCGGTGCTGGGCACCTTCCCGTCCTCCCGGGAGCCACCCCCGCCAAAGCGCTTACCCTCAGGGCACCTGTGGGCACCCGGTCAGGTGGAGGCACACGCTCCCCGCCCATAGGTGCCCCCGTGCCCACGGTCCCCAACACCACTGCCTGCTCTCCCCTCCAGCCCACTGGACTCCGAGAGCCTCCTGGTGTCGCCCAGCCTCCCGGCCAAGGCTTCTGTGGGCAGCAGGAAGGGTTCCTTGTACACCTGGACCCCCCCGAGCACCCCCAGCTTCCGGGAGAGGTACTGCCTGGTGAGTGAGCGGGCGGGGACGCGATGGGGGTCTGGGGTGGCTGAGCCGCCAGCCGGGCGCTCATGCTGGGCGTGTGCCGGGCGCTTTTCTGTGTGCTTTCCCTCCTGTGCTGCTTCCTCCTGGGGGCCTCCAGGATTACCATTGGCTGTTCCTCTGAGCGCCTGGAACCGTGCTCCTCGATGACCACACCCCCACGGCCGGCCATGGCCTTGGCCTCTTTCCCTGTTCCAGATTCACTGTGTCCCCAGTGGCGCTTGCCATGGTGTGCACGACACACCTCTTTCCAAGGTCCCCTCAGAGCCGCGAACGCTCCGTGCCAGCTGCGGGCCCACGCGTGTCCCCTCCGTCCTCCATGCCACGGTGGCCTTTTGCGCCCGGCCGCATGTTTGCAGGGGGAGGGGCCTTGGGCTCCTGCTCCCGCCCATGGTGGCCCGCGTGCGGCCGCGCCAGGCTGTGTTCACTGTGTGAGCGAGAAAGCTGCCTGCCCGCGTGCTCACAGCAGGTGCCCCAGCGGGGTCCTGGCACTCCGGGGAGCTCGGGGAGCGGCGGCGCTCGGATCCCAAACCCAGGGTGCTCGCGGAGCCCCACCCGGAAAAAGCTGCAGTCGGGCCTCCACACCCCGCCCACTCCCCACCCCCAGGCATTCTGGGTTCAGAGTGGCAGGGGCGCGGGCAGCAGGTGGCTGTGACCGGGGCCTACGCCGGGTTGACAATCACATGAAACGTGTGACATCAGCACCTCCCGGCGCCGCCTCACCTGAGAACCCAGCCTGGTCCACGTGGGTGGCGCGGGCCCTGCTGGGGCTGGGAGCCCTGGGCGCCGCGTCCCCAGCCTGCGGGGCCTTCCCGCCCTCACCCTCGGCTGCGCGCTGCCAAAGGGGCTGGGATTCTTTCCCCTCCGCTGACGTTTCCACTACGCTCGGCCCCTCTGAGCTGGGACTGGGAATCGGCACGTGGAGGCGCCCGTGTGGGTGGGGAGGAGCCCCAGGAGCAGGGACGAAACCAAGGTCCTCCCGTGCAGTCCGGGAGCGGGGTGACACGGCTCCTGTCACCTGGGGGGAGGGTGGCTTCCGTGAGCTGGCGCCTTGGAGGGAGAGGACGCTCTCTCCCTCCCTGCTCGCTTGCTCTGTGCGATAATCCACTCTTGCTGCCCTGCATCATTCATTCACTTCACTCATTCAAACTGCAAGCCAGGCTCTGCTCTGTGCGCAGTGAGGGCTGTGCAAATCAGACCCACACAGCCGGCCTGCGGGGCGCAAGGAAGGAGAGTGGGAGGCGAGGGGCTTGGGGAAGGACCCAAGGAGGGGAAGGCACAGGCCACTGAGGCACACGGGACTCGGGGTTGTCGGCAGAGAGCAGCCAGTGCAAAGGTCCTGAGGCAGGAATGTGTGAGCGAGCCCCGAGGGAGTGGGAAGGGGCACGCAGCCACTGAGGCCGGGCAGGGGTGAGCTGGGCTGACGGGGTCCTCTCGGCACCCCTGGGGTGCTGGTTGCCTGAGCAGAGCTGAGAAGGTGGGCGTCTGGGAGAGCAGCCCTCCTGGGTCTCGCCGTGGTCCCTGGGGCGGCTGGCGAGGCCCTCGCGCTCCCTCTCTCCAGTCTGTGCTACAGCCCTCGCTGTCGGCCCGGCCGAGGCCGCCATCCATCCTCAGCTTCCCGTCCGACAGCGACCTGCGGGGCCCCGGCTCGTGGGGCCGGAGCCAGGAGCTGCCCGAGATGGACTCTTTCAGCTCCGAGGACCCCCGGGACACCGAGACCAGCACATCGGCGTCCACCTCGGACGTGGGCTTCCTGCCCTTGGCCATCGGCACCCCCGCCTCGGTGCAGGAGGAGGGCCCCCCGCCCCCGGGTCTCCACCTGGAGCAGCTGGACTGGAGGAACTTGGGCGGGGACAGCCCTGACCTGCCCTGGGGCTCCCCGGACCACCCTGGCACAGCCCCGTGTCGCCAGGAAGGCCGGGCCGAAGGGGAAGCCGGGGTCGGAGACGAGGGGCCCGGCCTGGCCCTGGCCGAGCCGCTGCAGGAGGTCCTGGCCTTGCTGAGCGCCGTGGGCCCCGCCCAGCCGCAGCTCCGGGAGCTGGAGCGCCAGGTCCTTGGCTTCCAGGACCGGCTGAAGGTACGAGCAGCCCCGCTGCGCCCAGCTGATGGAGGGGGGCTGGGGCTGGCGTCCGCGCCTCAGCCCTGTGTCTCCTTACCTGTCCAGTGGGGGTGACACGGGGCTCATCGGGCTGGGAGGAGGAGGGGCCGAGGCAGCCTGGGCTCGCGGTGACAACTCGCTCCGCCTCCAGCCCCAGCCCGGCTCCATCTCACTCACAGCGCCGGCCCCAGGGAAGGGGTGGCGGCAGCGCTCAGATCCCTAACCCAGGGTGCTCGCGGAGCCCCACCCGGAAAAAGCTGCAGTCGGGCCTCCACACCCCGCCCACTCCCCACCCCCAGGCATTCTGGGTCCACAGAGTAGCAGGGGCGTGGGCAGCAGGTGGCTGTGACCGGGGCCTACGCCGGGTTGACGATCACATGAAACGTGTGACATCGGCACCTCCCGGCGCCGCCTCACCTGAGAACCCAGCCTGGTCCCCGTGGGTGGCGCAGGCCCTGCTGGGGCTGGGAGCCCTGGGTGCCACGTCCCCAGCCTGCAGGGCCTTCCCGCCCTCACCCTCGGCTGCGCGCTGCCAAGGGGGCTGGGATTCTCTTTCCCCTCCGCTAACTTTTCCACTACGCTCGGTCCCATTATTGCTGTGGTCTTTATGCCTGAAAGTTGCAAGGAAAATTTTTAAGTACTGACATCAGGGCTGGCTGGTGTCGCGGTGCAGCGGGTAAAGCTGCCACCTGGGAGCCGGCATTCCATACAGGTGCCGGTTCGAGTCCTGGCTGCTCCACTTCTGATCCAGCTCTCTGCTATGGCCTGGGAAAACAGAGGAAAATGACCCAAGTGCTTGGGCCCCTGCACCCATGTGGGAGACCCTGGGGTGCTGGTTGCCTGAGCAGAGCTGAGAAGGTGGGTGTCTGGGAGAGCAGCCCTCCTGCAGGAGAGCAGAGCTCCTGGCTCTGCCTGGCCCAGCCCTGCTGTTGCGACCATCTGGGGAGTGAACCAGCAGATGGAGGTCTCTCTGTCTCTGTCTTTCAAATGAATAAATAAATCTTAAATATTATCTTGTTGGGGTATTTTGAAAAGATTTATTTGAAAAGCAGGGAATTTATGTATTTGAAAGAGAGGGAAAGAGAGGTCTTCGTCCTCTGGTTCACTCCCCGAGTGGCTGCGATGGTCAGGGCTGGGTGGGGCCGAAGCCGGGAGCCAGGAGCTTCCTCTGGGTCTCCCACGTGGGTGCAGCGGCCCAGGCACTCGGGCCATCTTTCCGATAAATAAAATCAATAAAAATGGTTCTAAGTCATGCTTTCCAGTTTGACGTTCTAAGGAGAAATCACGCAGACATTTGCATGTCAGTGTACACAAACGTGTGAGCGTACGGGAGTCTGCACGCACGTGTGAGGTACGGGCGTGCGCGTGGAGGGAGTCCGCACGCACGTGTGAGGTACGGGCGTGCGCGTGGACGGGAGTCTGCACGCACGTGTGAGGTACGGGTGTGAGAGCATGTGAGTGCGCGTGTGCACATGTCTGTACAGGTGTGAGTGTACAGGTGTGCGAGTGTACAGGTGTGCGTGGGAGTACAGGCGAGTGAGTGCACAGGAGTCTGTGCACACACACACGCACACACACGCACACACACGCAGCGATCCTCTTCACTCGGGAGGGCTCTGTGTTTTCCAAGGCGCTGTCCTGCCGCAGTCCCTCCTTAGCCCCAAACCAAGGCTGCAGGCTGGTTCACGGTCACTTCCGGGGCCATGCAGCGCGGCACAGAGCGCGATGGCCTAATGGGGGCGGGTCCTCTCGGGCCTGGTCCCTCATCGGGCTGTGCTGTCCGAGTCGCTGCGTAGGCGGCCCCAGTGCAGAGCCTCCGCGTGGGCTGGGGTTCCAAGAGCCAGGGCTGTGCTGTTCCTTAGGAAATGTGGGCGTGGCTGGCGGTGCCTGGGCTGTCAGCGTGGAGCCACAATGTCCATCAAGCGTGCTGTCTTCACACACACAGGCTCTGCGCTGATTGGCTGAAGTGACCCCTGGTTCCAGACTTTTCCAGGCACCTAGCCCAGTATTTCCCCCGGGAGCCACTATTTGCTAACTCAGGGTTTGGCTGGGACGTGTAGAACGTAGCTCCCTTGCCTTTCTTTTTTAAAGATTTATTTACTTGAAAGAGTTACAGAGAAAGAGAGAGATAGGAAAGAGAGGTCTTCCATCCACTGGTTTACTCCCCAGATGGCCGCAATGGCCAGAGCTGCATCCATCCAAAGCCAGGAGCTTCATCCGGGTCTCCCACATGGATTCAGGGACCCAAGCACTGGGGCCACCCTCCACTGCTTTCCTAGGCGCATTAGCAGAGAGCGGGACTGGCAGAGGAACAGCCGGGACTCGAACCGGTGCCCACATGGGATGCCGGCACTGAAGGTGGTGACTACCCGCTGTGCCCCAGCGCTGGCCCCAGCTCCCTGGCCTTTCAAGGATCAGCTGTGTGCACACGTATGCGTGTGTACATGTGTGCACACGCATGTTCACGTGCACGTTCGCTCTAGCGGGGAATGAGCCCTCTGCTCCTTGCCCCTCAAGCTTTCCTGTTTGGCTCAGTTTGTGTGGGGCAGGGCCTGGCCGTGCCAGGGTGGAGGCAGCAGGACAGACGCCGGGGAGGGCCCAGACGGCTGCCCAGCACCACCCCTGCTGGCCGGGCGGCTCGGCTCGGCTCAGCTCTGCTCGCCCCTCTCCCGGGGAGAACGGAGCCCTGGAATCCTCAGGCTCCTGGGAGCTTTGGAGCCTCCTGGAAGGTGTTCGGCCTGGCCGGGGCCGCATTGAAAACTAATCTGGAATTGGTCGTCGATGGTTCAAAGCTGGGGGGTTAAAGACAGGATGACGCCGCAGCCCGGGCCACGCCCAGAGGCAGCTGCAGGCTGGGGTGGAGCCGCAGCCCCTCCCCAGCCCTGCCCGGTCTGCTCACCTGTTCCCATTGCTCCTCCTGTCCCGGGGCAGGGGAGTCATCTGTGACCCTGGGGAGGCCTTCAGATCTGTCTCCCTCATGAGGTGTTCTTAAAAAAAGATTGATGGCCGGCGCCGCGGCTCACTAGGCTAATCCTCCGCCTGCGGCACTGGCACGCCGGGTTCTGTCCCAGTTGCTCCTCTTCCTGTCCAGCTCTCTGCTGTGTCCCGGGAAGGCAGTGGAGGATGGCCCAAGTCCTTGGGCCCTGCACCCCATGGGAGACCAGGAGAAGCACCTGGCTCCTGCCTTCGGATCAGCGCGGTGTGCCGGCCGCAGCGGCCATTGGGGGGGTGAACCAATGGCAAAAGGAAGACCTTTCTCTCTGTCTCTCTCTGTCCACTCTGCCTGTCAAAAAAATAAAGATTGAAAGGCAGAGAGCAAAGCTTCCATCTGCTGGCTTACTTTCCAAATGGCCACAATGGCCAGGGTTAAGCCAGGCCAGAGCCAGGAGCCAGGAGCTCCATTCTAGTCTCCCACGCGGGTGCAGGGGCCTGGGCACTTGGGCTGTCCTCCGCTGCTTTCCCAGGTGCATCAGCAGGGAGCTGGATCAGAAGTGGAGCAGCTGGGACTCGAACCGGCACGCATAGGGGATGCCGGCACTGCCAGTGGCCCCGCTCCTTCGTGGTTTTGTTCCACGCCTTGTCACAGGCCACTCGCTGCCCTGACAGTGGGCCCTGGGGCCAGCAGCTGGGGCTATGCTGAGGGGCAGTGGCGGAAGTGGGAGGGGAAGACCCTAGCGGGGGTCCTAGCTGGGGGTGGGGGCGCCCAGTGCCGCGCTCAGGCCCGGCCGCCCCGTCCACAGCCCCGCGGAGGCCGGCGGGAGGAGCACGCCTCGGACGAGAGCCTGACCAAGTACATCCTGGACAGCTTCGCCTTCCTCAACTCCCACTTCGCCTCGGAGCAGCTGTCCCTGGCCGCAGGCTCCCGGGGTCCCCGGTGAGTGCACCCCAGCTGGGACCCTCTGGGGGGGCCCTTTGTCCCTGCTTCCTTCCGGTCTGTCTCTCCCACTGCCCTTGGCCTGATTCCTTTGTGCGCACTCCACCCCAGTCTGCCCCAGCCCGCCCACTGCTGGCCCCAGAGCAGGTGGCAGTAACCACGGAGTGAGCGAGGGTGTCCCTGTGGCCCTGAGCCTTCCGCTGGAAGGATGGCTCCCAGATGAGGGCGGGGCCCACAGACGACCCGCGCCCACCTCCGCCGCTAGCCACAGTGTGGCCCACACTGACGGCACCGCCTCCCTCCCCAGCTGTGCAGCTGCCCCGGCCCCCAGCACGGCGGCCAGGGCCTTCTCCCGCACCCAGAGCTCAGCACAATGTCAAGTCCAAACCATGCCCGTGAGGGCTGAGGACGAGCTGGGCCCGGGCACCCTCACCCACGGTGTCCCGCTGACCTCTCAAGGCCCCACTTCACAGATGGGTCAGTTGAGGCTCTGGGACACATCTGAACCTGGCTTCCCGCTCTGAATCGGGCGCCCTGGAAAACTGCCGCCCACGTGGCCCCAGCCCCCGCGTGTCTTCTCCCGGCTCTAACGCCACCTCCTGGGAGCTGGAGGGACCCCCTGAGCTACCCCCAGAGGGAGCTGAGCTGCTGACCAGAGCGGTCACCCTGTTCTCCCCAATCCAACCCACCAGGGACCGGACCTCACCGCCGCCGTCGCCACCACTGTCCCAGGAGCTGACGGCCGGGGCCCCAGAGCTGGACGAGCTGCTGGCTGTGCACCTGCGCGTGTGCAGAGCTGTGCTGCAGGTGGCTGAGGCCTGGTGGGGGGCGGGGGTGGGTCCGTGTGCCTGGCTGAGGGCCCATCCTGAAGCTGGAGGGGAGCCTGGGACGGGGTGAGGCCTGTGCCCCCAGAGCTGCTGGGAGTGGGGTCCCTCCGCGGAGGGTGAGGGCTGGGCCAGGGTGAGCAGCTCTCACTTGAAAGATGCCAGAGCCCCAGTCCACACTGGCTCAGCACAGGGCACTGAACAGCTCAGAGGCGGGCTTCAGGCCCGGCTGGCTCCAGGGCTTCGGCTGCTGGGGGTGGGGCTGGGGTGTCTCTTCCTCTCTCGCCTCTGCTTTGCAGTTGGGTCGGCTTTGCTTTCAGGCCGGCCCCTTCTGGGGGGGGCAAGGGGCCCCTGGGGGTGCAGGGTGAAGCTGGGGAGCTGCCGCAGGGAGCGAGGGGCCGGGCAGGAGCCCCCGTCTCAACGGCTGCCCTCGGAGGGGCCAGTGCTCCACCCTAACCTGGCGCTCTGGGGCTGCTTCCAGAAACTGGCGGCCCCACATGTGCCGAGGCTGGTCCAGGAGCGCCTCCTGGAGGAGGCGGCGCAGCAGAAGCGGGTTCTGGAGACGCTGTCTGTGCTGGACTTCGAGAAGGCCGGCAGGGCGGCGTCCATCGAGGAGAGTAAGCACCCGTCCCTCCCTCCCTCCCCGGGTCAGCGGAGCGAGGGTGGTGGCAGTGGGGCCCAGGGAGCCTCGTCGTGTGCCAGGGTGAGGCAGAGGCTGGGCTGGGACCAGACACACCCACTGTGGGGAGTTGGGGGGACAGCCCTGGAGTTCACGGCACCTGTGCTCCGAGCCTCGGCTTCCCTATCTGTATGATGGGCAGCTACTGGTAGGGTTCAAGGAGGTGACCCCTAGGCCACACTCACGGTACCCAGTGTGCACCGCTGCCCACCCTTGGCCCCAGGACTCACAGGTTCCTGCTTCCTGGAAGGCAGTGGTGGCCCCCGGGGGGCGTGAGGGCCACAGGAGGTGACCAGGGCACGGTGCCTGGAGCCCGGGCTGCTCACCTGTATCCCGCGGGAGCCTAGGGAGGGAGAGCCCGCAGCTGCCGAGTCTCCTCTCGCTTCCCCGGGGGAGGGACATCCTGGGCCTCCTGTCCCCCCCACCCCGGCCACTCTGGTTGCTGACCCTGGGTCTCAGTCATCCCGCAGGCCGCGTGCAGGAAGGGGAGCCTGGAGCTGTGGAGGGGGTGCACGGGGCCCGGCGCGGTGCTGTCCTGCCCCGCCACGGTGCTGCTGAGCCAGCTCAAGAGGACGTTCCTGCACCGCGTCCGGGGGAAGCACCCGGGACAGCTGGAGATAGGTACTGCCCCCCCCCGCCCCGCCCCGCCCCGCCCCCACCGCCTCCGGGACTCGGACTCCAGGGCACGGAGAGGTGCCCAAGGCTGCGGAGTCGGGCCGGCCTGGGGCACTCGGAGGCCACGGGCAGCAGCCTTTCCCACCCTGGCCTTGGCCCCGCTGAGCCACTGGCACGGCCCAGGCCGACCTCCTCGTCTCACTGCCTCCCCCGTGTGGCCAGTGTGCCGCAGGCTCCTGGAGCAGGTGCTCAGCTGCAGCGGGCTGCTCCCGGGGGCCGGGCTCCCCGAAGAACAGACGGTCACTTGGTTCCAGTTCCTCAGCTACCTGCAGAGGCACAGCGTCTCCGACCTGGAGGGCCACTTGGCCCAGCTCACCAAGGAAGGTAGGGGCCGGCGGCCCAGTCCCCGGGGCGGAGGCTGAGCTTTTGTGCATTGCAGCGCTTGCTAGCGGCTCTCCTAGACCGGCCCTGGCGCTCCCTCGGCTTGTGCCGGGGTGTGCTCCGTGGCTGGGGCCGCCGCGCTGCCTGGCCCCGATCCGGGGAGACCCGGGCCCACTCTCCCCCGTCTCCTAGTCACACTCATCGAGGAGCTGCACGGTGGCGCACAGCTCAAGGCCGTCAGGAAGCTGCAGGGGAGGCGGCTGAGCCGGCTCCAGCCCCTGCCCCAGACCCTGGGAGCCTGGGCGCTGCTCCAGCTGGACGGGCCCCCGCGGGTGTGCAGGGCGGCCAGTGCGCGCCTGGCCGGTGCAGCCTGCAACTCCAGCTTCCGGGAGAAGGTAGGGCAGGGAAATGGGGGCCTGGGGTGGCACGGGGGAGGTGGGGAGGGCCCCCGTGTGACTGCATCCCAGTGTCCCTAGAGCCACACATCTGCTGGGTCCCAGGGCAGTCACTTGCACACTTTTAGAGGTGGGATGGTCACCCGCGTGTCTTCTCATCTAGTGCTTATGTCTGGCTCGTTAGGGACGCTGTGTTGGGTGCACCTGCTCTACCTTAGACGCTAGACTCGGGGAGGGGGGCTTTTCTGAAACATCAGACAAGAGCGTCTTTTGTCTTATCATCCGATGCCCGGCGCCTGGTGGTTAGGGATGACCTAGGCACCGACGTCCTTCCCGTGACTGTGGCCGCCTGGTCGAAGGCTTCCGGGCCGGATCCTGAGTTGCATTTGGGAAAAGGGAGGAAGAGCGCGGCTTGCGGTCGGCTCTGGGCGACAGGTGACCCCGGGGGCCGTGGATTCTGCTGCTCCCGCACAGCTCCGCCTCCCGCCTACCCCGCAGGCTCTGTTCTTCTACAGCCTCGCCCTGGCCGAGGGTGACGCGAAGCTGCAGCAGGCTGCGTGCCTGGCGCTCAAGCAGCTCAGGGTGAGTGCGCGAGCCCTCAGGCCACGACGCAGGGCCGGGCGACCCCACTGGGACCAAAGACCTGGGGCGCAGCAGGGTTAGGCAAGGAGCAACTTGGGAGACCCCCATCAGCGCTGGCCCAGGTCCCAGCTGCTCCACTTCCCATCCAGCTCCCTGCCCATGAACCTGGGAAAGCAGCGCAAGGTGGCTCAGGTGCCTGGTCCCTGCACCCACGTGGGAGACCCGGATGGAGTTCCAGGCTCCGGGCTCCAGCCAGGCCCAGCCCCGGCTGTGGCGGCCTTTGGGGAGAAAACCAGCGATCTATCACTTCGCTTTTTAAATAAGCAAATATTAAAAAGCACCTCCCCCAGCACCTAGCAGGTGGTTTTAGAGGTGCAGTTGGGCTGCCCTGGAGGAACCCCCGACCGCGCCCCGAGCGGCCTCAGGGACTCGCTCCTGAGCCACAAGGAGCCTTCGAAAAGTTGGCGAAGACGTGCGTTTTGAAAAAGCTACACATGGGCTTTAACCTTTTCTCTATTTTTAAACAAAAACCACAGTTTAAAAAGTTTACTTGAAAAGCAGAGCCAGAGAGCTTCCAACTGCTGGTTCATTCCCCACACACCTGCAGCAGCCCGGGGGTTGGGGGGTGGGGGGGCAGGACTTCGGCGTAGGAGGGGGCCGGGCCCGCACACCGAAGCCATCGCCTGTGGCTCTCAGGGCGGGCGGCAGCTGGGGCTGGGGCCGAGTGCAGGCACAGATCGGTTCCGGCAGCCCACTGCTGCCCCAAGCGCGTGGCCCGGCTCTCTGTTGCTTGCGCGTTTGTGAGGGTTAAAGACAGCGGATCACAGTCGGCGTGGTCTGACGATGACGTAAGGGTTTCCTTCAGTTCCCTACGAAGGTCCATCCGGTGTAAACCCTGTCCCCTTGCTCACCTGTTCTCACGCCGCAGGAAGGGCGGGGTGTGCACCTATTTAAGGCATCGTGACGTCACTGTGCACAGAGCCCTTTGGAGCACATCTGCGGCCGGAGTTATTTCGCGGTGGGACCTCAGGGAGGGGGAACCGGAGCGTTTCTGAGACTCGATGCCCCCAGCCCCACTGCGTGCCCACCGCCGTGGAGGGACTTCGCCCCTGTACCTCGCGCTCACGCACGCTGGGAATCCTCACCTTAACCCTCCACTGCCCGCCGGCCAGACCAGAGCATTCGGTCCGGGTCACACTCACTTGGCGCGTCCGCTCATCCTTGGATGGACCGAGAGCACATTCTAGAACGCGTGGCTCGGCCCCGCCGAGGGCGCGGCTGTTTGGAGCGCAGGCTCAGGACGCAGGGCCCGAGGGATCGGGGCAGGGAGGCCCAGAAGGCAGCAGTCCCCTCCCGCCACGGGCCTGCGGATGGCACCAGTTGGTCCTGCTGGCGGCCTGGGTCATGGCAGGCATCTGATGGACGGACTGGGAGGCTACAGGAGAGAAAGGGGCACGCGTAGCTGCCCACCACCCCCAGCCTGGGCTGGGCCCGACGCCCCCTGCTGCTTACGGGGTTCCTCCCGCCCCAACAGGGCATTGAAAGCATCGATGAGCTCGCCCGCCTGTGCCAGTCGGAGCTGGAGGCCGTGCGCACGGCAGCCCGGGAAGCCACGCTGTCGTTCGGTAATGCGGGGTGGCAGAGGTCAGCCTGCGAGGCGGTGGGGCACTCGGGGCCCCGGCCTGGCAGGGAGCTGGCCCCCGCGTCTTCCAGCGCGCTGGCCTCTGTGGGAGCTTTCACTGTGGCCTTACAGTTTGCTGGGGTGGGGGGCTCAGTCCCTGCTCCCTCACGGGGACCCCGGGGGGAGCACCCGACACACGGCTTTCCCGTCTCAGGTGAGAGAGGCCGCCTGGCTTTTGAGAAGATGGACAAACTCCGCACGGAACAAGGGGCGGTCTCCTGCCAGGAGGTGGACGTTGAAATCACAGTATTTTAAAGCCGCGCACGGACATCCCAGCTGGAACTGAGGGGTGGGTGTGCGGCGGCCCCAGGCCCCACGAGCGGCTTCTGCACAGGAAGAAGGGGGGGCAGCACAGCGCCCAGGGGGCCGTGTGGCCGCTCTCGGGGCTCCGCTTCTGGCTCGAGAATGATCTTCAGCCTGATGCGGGGCTGGGCCAGGGCCAGGGCCAGGCACGTGAAGGCCTTGGATCACAGGTTCCGGGGCGCACGGAAGGAACCTGAGGCTGCCCCCTGCGTGCTGGGACCGGGGGTGGGGGGACAGCCAGCTGGCTGGGCATGGGGCGGCCCCAGTCACTTCAACAGCGGTCACCCCGGCAAGCTGGGGAAGAGGGGGGCTCCACAGCCACTTCCACAAGCTGCGCCCGGACGCTGGCGGCCGTGGCCATGTTTACAGCACAAGGACACCAGCCGAGGCGGCCGGGCCGCTGTGGGCCAGAGCCCCTTCGCCTTGGCCACACCAGTCAAGGTGGAATTCAACTTTTGAAACACGCCACCTTGGGGCCGGCTCCGTCTGCTGCGCCAGTGGCACTGGCGGACTCCAGGGAGGGCTTCGCTGCAGGGCACGTGGCTTTGGAGACAGGAAAGCCCCTGTCCGAGCTGCGTGTGGCAGGGGGCGAGACCACGGGCCCGGATGTTGCTGTCAACACCAGCACCAGAGGGCGCTGTGTAACTCCAGCCGCCTCCTGTCAACTGCCTGTCCGCCCTGGGCTTTTTGTTTAATTTAGTATTTGCCTTGTTTGTGTGATCCAATTACAACTATTTTAACGGCTACTTCACTTGACCCTGAGAGTAGACACTGTTTGCTTCATCAAGTCACCAGCTGGGGGCGTCCGCCCAGCTCTCCCGACCCCGCGGATGTGCAAGGACTCCCAGGGCCGTCACCCCCGCCCCATCGACTCTGCCCCAAAGCCACACACTGAGCTACTGTTGTTCACACTGGCATTCGAACTCCCCCTGGACACTTAGGTGCCATTTTTTATGCCCAGAACACGGAGGGAGATGGGCGCAGTGCCGCCCTCTGAGCCCCTGGCCTCCGGCAGTGCGGTGTGGCCATGGGGCTGCGGCTCGCCAGTCTTAGTCCCCAGGTTGAGGTTGGCACTATTAAGAATGTTCCTGGCCACAGCCACGGCCAGCTTTGAACCTGTCGGCAAGCCTTGAAGGAAAAGCGGGAATTCTCGGTCCTACTGAGTATTGCAACATTTCCAAGTCTGAAATTACTGCAAAGCAAAATGATGGCTTTCAGAGGACGAGTGCTAGACGAATTTTTCTGTCTCTAAGTCGGTTCTCCGCCCCATGCAGCTTTACAGTAATAGACGTGGTGGCCTCGGGGCTGTGGGTGTGCGGTCCCAGCAGTTTCCACCCAACTTCCCCCAGCTCAGGAGGTCTCCCAGGCTCCCCTGGGGTTCCAGGGTGGGGTTTTGGGGAAGAACCCGGGCTGAGGTTGGCAGAGCCCAGAGAAGTTGTGCTGGCCTGCGGCCTCCACCTGCCCGGAGCCGTGGCTCCTTCCACCTACAAAAAGGGGCCCCTGATGCAAAGGAACGCGAAGCACCTCACAATGTCTTTAGAAAAACAAATTTATTGTTGCAACTCAAATGCAAACCCACCATTTTACGGCAAGCTGGGCACCTGGGCAGCGCGACAGCTCGGTCATGGAAGACCCCAGACGCCCCCCACCCCCCGCGGCTGTGCACCCCGCACACACGCCTGAGAGCCCCTCGCTGTCGCTCTGTTCCGTGCATGGAACGTAAGAACGACCGCCCGCCGAGTGAGTATTGGCTTAAGGCATAGAGCAGAGCAGCTCGCTACCTCTCGTCCCCGGGCCGCGCCGCGCCGCCACGTCCGCTCGGAGATGCTACGGTCTAGACACACCCAGACTACTACATACATGTGCACCTACCGACACAGCCCGACTGCAAAACGCTCGGCCTGGGCCCTCCACGCCTCGCCCCGGCTCTGCAGGGCGATGCCTCGGCTGGCCCCGTGTCCCCGAGTTTTCCGTGGGGCCTCGACCCCGTGAAAGGCAAAGGGTGAAAATGCTGGCAGAGGCAGCTCGGAGTGCGGCTGCCCTTTGTCTTGTTAAAAAGCCACGAGCGTGGAGGTCTGAGGTTCCCCTCGCAGGAAGAGTCGTGAGCACCATCGGTCCCCACGGGGCTCCAGGGCAGGCGGCGGCCGCGCCCCCAGGTGGCTCCAGAGGTGTGGTTTCCAGCGTCGCCCTGGTCCCAAGCCATGGCCTGCACAGGCACTGCGTGAACTTGGACTAGTGGAGGCTGAGCCCAGGGGTGGGCAGAGCTGGAGGCGTGGCTGCGGCTTCCCAGAGGCTTGGAATGTCTGCGTTACAGCAGGACCCAGCTGGGGCAGGGCGGCTGGGCCTCGCCAGGAGCCACCGGCCGCGCGAGAGCAGACCCGGCTCGGGCCCGGGCGCGGGCCCGCTGGTGAGCAGAACGCGGAGTCTCTTGTTCCAAGCACGTGGCGTTCTCGCGGGACACAGAAGACGGAACATGCATCTCACACACAGCGGGGCGGGCCGAGAGCCAGGCTCCGCAGGTGGGGGGGGGCTGGGACCAAGTCCCGTCTCATTACGTCTTTAAATACCCGAGTCATATTATATATTACCCCTTGTCTGTCTAGCCCCGCGCCGGCGCCCCTGCGCCACCTGAGCTTCCTTCTGGTACTTTCTGACAGGGCCTCCACGCGGCTGCGCCCAGAGCCATCTTCACACAGCGCTGTCTGGGAGGACGCTGGAGCCGTGGGGGCGCTTCCAGGGGAGGGCAGCCCTGCCTAGCACCGCCCGCTCCTTGGCTCCGGACAAGCTGGGCCGTGGCCTCCGGACTCGGGCCAGGGGCCTGGAGCGGCCCAAGCCTGTGTCCAGGGCCCCTCCGGGCTGGCTGGCAGCAGGCCTGCGGGCAGGGGCGGGTGGGAGAGGGTCGGCTACGTGCCGGTGTTCCAACAGGAACTGGAGCGAACCAAGCACTCTGGCCGAGCCCCAAGGGGCGCCACCAGCCCTGAGGGTGGGGTTGGGCTTTCACCACGGCCCTCTCCCCCCAAAAAATCACCCTAAGGAAAAAACTGCATTTTGCTCAAGCGGAGCCAGGAGAGAGGACAGAATGGGAGGGGCCTGGGGAGGCCGCCCCGGCCCTGCAGCGAGCGGTGCTCGGCGCTCGTCAGCCAACCCGAGGCAGAATCCACTCCCCGGAGCTCAAGGGCGGCTGCAGGCAGGGGCCCGCCCCCGGGTGGGCCTGGCCCTGAGCCCCTGTTGTGGGCGGAGCCACGTGTGGGGAGCCAGCGGGGACCTGAGCAGAGGCAGAAGCCAGCTTTGCCCGGCACCACCCCGGGGAGGCCTCCCACGGCCGCCTGCCCCCCGTCTCCGGCGGCCTACATTCAGCCAAGGTCGGGATCTCCCCTGGGGACCCAGACGCAAACCGTGACCCTGACTCCACAGGTACAAGAGCTCCCTAAGTGCCTGGTTGGTTTTTTTTTCTTCCAGAAATAACAAAAAAGCTGCTTCTTATAAAGGTTAAAAACAACAATGTGTTGTAATTCAACTTCCCCCAGAACTGAACATAAAGAGAGATGGAGAGAGTGAGCGCGCGACATATTTGGCATTTTCTCTACTTACTCCTGAATCGGTGAAGGCCCTGAGATTACTCCGCCGTCCTTGGGGCCGCGGGCTCCTCCAGCCCCGGCGCGGCGCCCCCGCCCCGGCAGCCCGGCCACGCCCAGGGCCAGCCTCTGCGTGCGGCTTCCGGGGGCGGCGGGCCGCTCCGGAGCCGGGTGCTCGCGCCGGCCGCGGCCGTGGCCGTCAGTGGAAGCAGGCCCTGTAGCAGAGGTAGGCGCCGGCCGTGAGGACCGTGGCCACGCACATGTTGAACAGGAAGGGCTTCCAGGGAGTCAGCGCGTGGGCCGCGTGCTCCTCGGGCGGCGACGGCTCCTCCTTGGCGGTGAAGGCAGCCTGGGGGCCTCGCAGGGCGCCCCCCACGTTGCGACTTCTAACTTCAGTGTCTTGACTCGTGCTGAGGAATCAGAGGGTGGAGACGGGTTACTCACCGGCGGGAGAAGCGGGCGGCACGGGCGCTGTCCACAGGGGGAATTCCAGGGAAACCGAGCCACTCGGGCTGAGGCCAGCCAGGCCGTGGCAGGTGTCACCCGAGGGCCTCAGGCAACACCCACAGCCAGGGTGGGGCCACAGGTGCCGGGGTCACTTCCCACTGCGCGGCTCAGTTGGGCTGGAGCCCCCACTGGTGCACACCCCGGGGGACCTGGCTTTCTCAGGTCGGCAACTCCAGCGTCCGCTCAGTCCTACTGAGCCCATTCCAGCAAGCACCACAAGGTGGAGCTACAGCCCCGCCGAAGCCAGTCACTCCCCAGGGCCACAGGCAGCCAGCGCTGGGCCTTGTCCAGTCCGGAGAGGGGCAGCCCAGGGGTTTCCGGAACACAAGGTCGTCCCCTCTCCCCCAAGCCGGGACCCCGACGGTACCTTTCCAAGCTACAGGCTCTGGTTCCTTCCCGGACGGGGCCATCTGTGTCCTCCTCGGCCCCGATCTTCACCCACTGGTGATTGGGGAAGAAGCCCCTGCACTTCCCGTTGTGGGGCTCCAGGACCCGCTTGGGCGGCCGGGGAGGCGGGGGCACGTGCTCGGGCGGGGGCTCGAGGTCCTCGTGGGAGAGCTCCTTCCACTGATCCTGGAGAGGCGGCGAGAGGCTCCCGTCAGCGGGCGCTTCGTGCGCACTGTCGGGAGCCCACTTCTCGCCGATGGGCTCAGGCACGCGTGGGCAGACCACGTGCTCAGGGCACAGGTGCAGCCTCCACCGACGCCCTCTGCGAACACGCCACAGGCGGCGCCCGCAGCGAGCGCAACCTTGCCACAGCCTGCTGGCCACTTCACAGGGAAGGGCACCGGCGGCGCGGGGCGGGCTGACCTGCACCGAGGCGTCTCCCATGATGAACTTGGCCCCCTCGATGACGGCCAGGTAGGAGAAGCGCAGCTGGTCCGCCGTCTGGATCAGCCCCATCCGGAACTTGCGCATCTCCAGCAGCACCTTCTTGATGTCCACGGACGCAGGGTCCTTCCTCTTGTCCATCTGCAAGCCAGAGACAGCTGAGGCCGCGCCGCGCCGGCACCAGCTGCCTGCGTTCTGGGGCGGGCGTGCAGGCCGAGGGGAGGGGCTCTGGCTGCAGCGGGGCCGCGTACCAGCAGGAGGCAGGTGTCGGCCAGACAGAAGGTCCCGGACCTGCCGATGCCCGCGCTGCAGTGCACCACGACGGGGCCGTGCTCCGGGCTCAGCGACCCCGACTCGCGGACTTTGAAAAGGAAGTTCAGGAAGGAGGCCGGCGACTCGGGGACTCCGAAGTCAGGCCACGTGGTGTAGTGGAAATGCAAGATCTCTCGTGTTTCCTGAGTCTGGAAGAGAAAGACACTCAGGCGGACTCTCGGGGACTCAGTGCTGAACCCACTCCGCCCGCCTTCCAGGGCCGCCACAGCCGCTCCCCCCCGAGAACAGCACTGACTTCCAGACTCCCCTACCCGGGTGCCCGTTCCACACCGGCCCCCACCCGAGTGCCCGTTCCACACCGGCCCCCACCCGAGTGCCCGTTCCACACCGGCCCCCCATCCCAGTGCCTGTTCAAGCCCTGGCTGCTCTGCGTCTGCCCGAGCTCCCCGCTGAGGTGCCTGGGAAGGAGGCTGATGGGGACTCAAATGCTTGGGCCCCTCCCACCCAAGTGGGAGTCCCAGGTGGATTCAGCCTGGCTCAGCCCTGGCTGTCGCAGCCGTTTGTGGAGTGAATCAGTGACTGGCAGATCTCCATCTGCCCCCCTCTGTAGCTCTTTCACATAAGTAAATAACTCCTAAACAAACACGTAAGTAAATAACTCCTAACAAACACATAAGTAAATAACTCCTAAACAAAAAGCCAACCTGCGATGGACTGTATTTGCTCCACTAGGACAAAGCACGACCCTCTGTGCTCTGAATTCTGTCTCCCTCAACAGCAGGAAAAATTCTCCAGAGTTTTCCAGAAGTCTGCCCGTGTCAGCTTGCAAACGCTACAAAGCATTTTTAACAAAGGTCTCCTACATCAGCCTCCGGGCACTTTCACAGGCTGCCCGTGTTATTTCTCAGAACCCCCAGGAAGGCCCCCTGGCCCCCCTAGTTCCCCTCCCGGGGGGGCAGGGGTGGCGCGGGAGTGGCTGCACTTATCCACTCCCCAGTAACCTGTGCTGAGTCCCACTGCTTCCACTCCACAAGACTGCCAGGAGCCACGGGGCCGCACAGCACTATGTGGACAGCTAAGAGGTGACTGTCACGCAGCCCAGCATGCAAGCCCAGTGGGCCCCATCGCCCTCACCCCCCTCCAGGCTGCTACCCTCCACCCCAGCAATCTCAATCACTACACACCACCTGCCAACCCCTCCTCAAAGAGCTTCCCGGAAACCCCTAACCCTATCTGATAGGAGGTGAGAGAGAGGCCAGCATCCCATATGGGCGCGGGTTCGAGTCCTGGCTGCTCCACTTCCCATGCAGCTCCCTGCTGACGCACCTGGGAAGGCAGTGGGAGACGGCCCAGTGCTTGGGCCCTGCTCCCACGTGGGAGACCTGGATGGAACTCGGGGCTCTTGGCTTCAGCCTAGTCCAGCCCTGGCCATCGTGGGAGTGAACCAGCAGACAGAACCCCCCTCTCTCCCTCTCTCTCCCTCTCTCTCCCTCTCTCTCCCTCTCTCTCCCTCTCTCTCTCTCTCTCCCTCTCTCTCTCCCTCTCTCTGCCGTTCAGCCTTCCGAATCCACAGTTAAGACAGCTGCAGGCACAGGGGGACCCCGCCTCCAACGCCACGGCTGCAGAGCGGGCGCCGGCGCGGAAAGGCCTCCCCGCCTTGCACTAGAGCAGCCCCAGGGGCACCGGAGCGGGCGGCCCGCTCTGCCGGTGCGGAACTCGCAGCCCCGGCTCGGCCTCGGCCGCCGCACGCACGCACGCACGTGGGTGGGCCACGGTCCCGGCAAGGAACCCCTTCCCCTAAGACCTGTGCCCACGGGGGTGAGGGCTCTGTGGCCCGCCTGTCCTAGCCCTTCCCCAGGCACCTGGTGAGGCTGCGGGAGGCTCTGCCCAGCACATGCCGGCGCCACACCTCGTGCAGGGCGTACACAACCTGGAGACGGCGGCATCAGCGCCTATCACCCCAGGGACCGTCCCCCCAGGGACCACCCGCCATACTCACTGTAAGGTTTTCCAATTCTAGCTGTCGTACTGTGTAGTAGGACTTGATATCTTCAGAGACCAAGGTCAACTTCAGATTTGTGTCATCAAACATCATTTCTTTTTCTTCTCTCTGCGGCCAGTACTGCGCACATTTTAACTAGGGCAGGAAAACAGCAGGTTACCTCGAGCAGTGGACTGTGGCCCTGACGGGCGTGGTGGACGACCACCCAGAGGCCCGGGGACAGGCACAGCGGCGGGGCGCTGAGCACTGTGGGAGGGGACAGAAACAGCAGGTAGGCAGGGGCTGAGCCGCACAATGGCCACCCGATGACTCGGGGCCTCCCGTAATGCACCTGCACGGAGCCACAGGTGGCAGGGGCGGCTTCAGGGCCAGTGCTACAGATGTGCTGCGGGACACGGGGGAGGCAGGTGCTCGATTCCGGCCACAGTTCCAGGACAGCGATCAGAGAAGGCTCTGCGGGAGGCCGCCCAGGACTTCCCAGGGCACGGCCGTGAGGAGCCAGGCTCGGGGAGCAGCAGTGAGCAGGCCCAGCGGCCAGGGGACCTGCTGCAGAGGCTGCAGCCAGGGAGCGGCTCTCGGGAGGGTAAGATGGAGGCACAGGTGTTCGATGGTCCCGCTCCACACCCCAAGGCAAAAATCGAAAGAAAGTAAGAAAGAGCCCCAGGCTGTGAAGCTGGCGCAGGGCTCCTGGAAGAGCGCGGATGCGGCAGGCCAGGGCGAGTCTTGGCACTTTCAGCCCTGTCACCTCCACAAGCTGACCAGGAGCCGCCCATGCCGAGCCTCTGGAGTAGGCGGGACCAGTCTGTGGGTGCAGAAGCCACCCCGTCACCCAGGAAATGGAACGACGCACTATACAGCAAGACCCTTGGTGCCAGAGTGGACGGCAGCTGAAAACTAGACCTTTGAGGAACAGGACAGGATCCCCGCATTGCAACAAAGAGACGCTACAAGGCCTCAGACCCAGCCCAAGACGCTGCCAACAAGGCGGGCAGAGAGAAGGAGGGGCAGGTGCAGAACAGTCTCTCCCTGGGGGGCTGGGGAGCAGGCCACACCGCCTTTCAGCTCTCCACAGCACACACACACTGGCCAGACCAGAGCGGCACAACCTTTGCAATCTGCAGGGATCCTGGCACACGGCTAAGTGCTTGCCAGCCACAATTTATCTCTAAGAACTCTTCAGCAGCTGCAGTAACCTGCTCTATTCCACTGTCATTTCTGGCACAAAGCTTTTAAAAAAGATACAAGATGTAGAATGGGCACATGGCCGCCACCGCTGCTACCCCGCCACGCCGGCAGCCCTCACCAGGCTCAAAGCAAGGCGCCAGAGAGGGCTCGGCGGTGCCAGCAGGTGCACTGCCACTTCCACCATGAAGGCAGTCTCAGAGGGGCCTCGGGGCCTTCCAAAACAGCCAGACCCTCGTAAGGAAACTCCTAAGAATCTCACCCACGGGGACCCGGGCGGACGGTTCCGCTTTCCCAAAGAATGAAGCACAGAGTCCGGGCGCCGCAGGAAGCCCAGGGCAGCTGTGGCACAAAAGGCAGCGCCCTGTGCGAGCAAGCACCTGGAACCCAGCCGCCGCGCTGGGCCGCAGGAGCTCCGGCGGAAGCTCTGGAAGGGCGAATCCCACTCGCCCAGCAAAGACCGCCACGTGTTCCTTCCACACTGAGGCGCCTGACGCCAGCTTCCACAGGGAGCCAGCGAAGACCCTGGCCATCGGATGACCCCAGGCTAACGATCACCTCTGCATAACTGGGTTCCTGGACACAGGGGCCCAAAAAGCTAGCAGGCAGGTGTGCCCCAAGCAGGAGGGGAGCGCCCTCAGTTACTGTGCGGGGCCAGCTGAGCCTGGACAGCGCTCCTGCCAAGCCGCCTGTCCCACGGCTGCTGGGCGGTTTGTAGTCGGTCAGCCACCCCATCAGACCGGCACTCCTCAGGCCTCTGAGCCCCGAGATGGGAGTGATGATGGCGGCCGGGACCTGGAAAGGTCGATTCCACAGAAGCGTCAGGAAGCCCCCTGACCCACACGCCGCTTCTCCTGTCCACGGACCCCCGAGAAGGACGGCAAGTTCACACAGGAACACACACGCCACGAGGAGCCGTGCGGCCATGCTTCCTTGCTGGCTGGCATGGCGGCCCGAGGACAAGGCTGTCGCTGTGGACCCCAGGTCTACTCACGGTCAGCCTCAGGTAGGGGACAACCAGGAGCCGCGACCGCAGTGCTGGGCACGGCTCCGCGTTACAACCTGACAACAGCCGCTAAAGCAAGCTGTGGACTAACAGCAAAAAGGTTGTACCGGCTCCTTTAGCAACAGAGAAGCTAATAGGCAACAGTGCTGCGACGGCCGACGATGTCTGAATGAGCGTCTTTGACTAAAACTCCCAGCCCTAGAGCAGCGCTCTGAGCGGTGGGCAGCGGACGAAGTCTGGAGTCCAGCGCGGGCCGTATGGGACTGCCACGTCCAGGGAGGGGCGTGGCTGAGTCCTGCAGCTTACAGGACAGCCCCCACCGCCGCACAGGCTGCGCGCCCGTGTGGCTTCCGTGCTGCGGGAAGCCAGCGTTTGGCTTCTTCATCCAAATCTGTAGCCGAGGCTGGCGGAGGCTGGGGTTTGTAACTTCACATTTTACTCATCACGCCGGAAGCAGAAAGATTAAAATTCACACTCACTCTCACTGACAAAGTGTTTTCTAAGACAGGCATTATTTAATCAACTGATCATGCCGCCAAGCTCCGGTCTTGCAACTGCTGAGCAAATGAGTCCTTTCATTTTTTTCCCAAAAACAAAACAAAAAAACCCCACGTGTTGGAGGCAATGAAGCTGACAGAACCCCCCACACCAGCCGCAACACGTGCTGTCCTAAGACGCCCGCTCTCCTGAGCGCTGGGCACGGGGCTGTGCCAACGCGGCTGTGCCGCGGCCCTTCCCTGTACCTGGAGTGGGTCCCTCCCAGGGCGACGACGGTGCTCTGTTAGGAGCCCTCGTGTTCTCCAAGGCAAGCCACGTCTGCCCGGAGGCAGCTGGGACAGCTGCAAGGGCGGCGCCCCAGCTGAGCCCCGGCAGCACAGCACCAGGGCCTGGCAAGGCCCGGGGACACCGAGCTCCTGGCTCCCGGGCCACACATTCCCACTGGTCTCCACGGTCACCAGCAAGTGGAGATGGGGAAGGAGGCTGAAGGACACACACATGGGGACAGCGGCCACACCGGCCACACGCCTGCAGTCCTCACGGCATCCCAAGCCGGGCGGGGGGTGGGGTGGGGGTTTAAGAGTGGCGAGGAACTCGAGGACACAGATCCTGATGTGAACACGCCTGCCGGCAGCGTGTGCACCGAGGCCGGCAGCAGAGGACCCAGCTCTGCACACGGCGGCGGGAGGCACGCGTGAGCAGCCAACACTGCTGCGTGACGGACACACACTGGGCCTCGCTTCTCGAAACGCAGCCCTGTCTACACAAGCTCATGACAGCGGTGGCCCAGGAAGCGCAGGGGGCAGAGAACAGAGCACAGCCCACGGGGACGAGAGGCCAAGCGCGACTTCGCTTCGTCTCCCTTCTCATTCCCTTACTCAATCTGCTTACCTCAGGAGATTTGAGAGCGCGCACGTAAAGGAGACACGGGCTGACACGCAGAGCAGGGACAGCGGCCGCCGCCACTTACCGAGCCTTTCTCCATCACCCGGTTGAGCATGACCACGCCTCTGCTCTTCTGCTCCCACACCATCTCCCAGAAGTGCCCGCACGTGTTGGGCAAGGGGCCCTGCAAACAAACAATTGACACAGGTGTGGCACTGCAGACCCAAATCACAGCGAGCTCCCACTCGGTTCCACACCGGCGCAGACCGAGGGCGGCCGAGGCTGGGACAGCGCCTGCCCCTGGCCCAATGGGCAGTCCACGCAACGAGGGGTAGTCCACGCAACGAGGGGTGGCACACGCAACGAGGGGTGGCACCCGCATCTTGGTCAGGGCTGACAGCAGAGGCCGGACCGCTGATTCTGCCTCCTGAGCCGGCTGAGGGGCGCCCTGAGCTGCAGCTCTCAGGCCAGGAGGAGTGCAGGACGCAGCCGCTGTGTGCAGGCCAGCGATCAAGCCTGATGCTCAGGCAGCCCACGCACCCGGCCAAGCGCTTCTCCTTGTGTGGCGTCGGCCAAGCCGAGCCTGTTCCCTCAACTCTCTCTCGACTAATCCCAGTGCCCAGTTCCAGGGCTGTGAGAAATAACGCGTTCATCTCTGTCAAGGACTTAGCACTGTTCCTGGAACTTGGCACGCAGTAAACGTTACCATGACAGCCTTCACCCCGAGACCAGGGGACACGAGAGCGATGGGCACCCGGAGGGTCCCTGAGGCGGCACGGTGGGGTGTTCGCTGCACCCGGGCACCAAGGCTCAGAGTCTGTCTCGCCTGCCACGTCCTCCACCTCTTGGGCCAGCACCCCTTCTTCTGGAGTGGTTTCCAGTCTCGTCTACTCTCACACGAGTTCTTATTCTTAAAATCTTTCCCCTGTAAGTCTCACCACGTCCCCTGACCACATGGCTCTTGGTGCCCTCGGACTTCCTTCCCCACACTCATCTGGAACTCACTGCCCGATGAGACAAGTTACACTCTGAGCATTTCCTGTATGCGTCTGGACAACAGTGGGCCACACGTGGAACCCCTCCCCCAAGCTATTGGAAAAACAGCCCCAGGCAGGCTGAGCTCACGGGGCACTTGGCGGTGCACCAGGACCCCGGATGCGGCTCCGCCACTTGCCTGCCGCCCTCCCCACCTGCCGACACACTCTGGTTCAGAATGGGTCTCAGGGATTTAAATCCGCCGAGACGAGCGCACGGACTTGCACACTCGCACAGTGAACAGCACTGGGGTCAGCAGCGGCGTCGTGCCTGTGTATCTCAGGAAACGCCCCCGCCACGTGCCCGGGCTGACTTCAGCAGGACCAGGACCGCTCTGACTCCTTCTGTAGCCCCCAGGGCGAGGGCAGATCACCCGGGTGGTCTGGCCAGCAGCCCTGGAGGGGCAGCACTCTCTCCCATGGCGTTTTCTAGCTCTCCGTTTTTATCACAGACACTGTCATGCCCGCGTAAAGGGCCTCCGGAGCCCACTCCCACGCTGAATAGCTACGAACAGGAAGGCGAACTTTGACCTCTCCCAAGAAGCTGCTTCTGCCTTAACCTCTTCCCAGCCCCAGCTCTGCAGGCCGGGGAGTGAACCAGCAGACAGGAAGCTGTCTGTGCCTGTCAAATACAACAGATAATTAATTAACCCTTTAAAAACAATCTGCTCACCTGGGTAAGAATGTAGCTCCTCTGGGCTTCCTCCATCTTTATCAAACTGGCGTTGATGTAGTCGTTGTCTTCCTGATGCAGCTTGATCCGGCTGTGGTCGACTGAAATGAAGCAGGGCACGGGCGTCAGCCATGCAGCCCCACTCGGGCAGCGCCCAGGGAGGCCCCGGACGAGCTGGCAGACCGGCGCGCACACGCGTGTTCTAAAGGATCCGAGAGCGTGGGCCTGGAAAGCAGCTGCCACCTGGAATACTGGCCCCCACCCTGATGCTCGAGACAAACCAAGACACCTGGGCGACTTCAGTGGCTCCCAGCAATAAACGCTCTCCAAAACCACACGTGACTGTCACCACAGGCGATGGGAGAGGGTGCTGATACCACTGGGTGACCCCAGGCCAACACCGTGTCCTCTGAGCCTCGGCACGGTCACTCGTCCCACAGAGGTACCGAGGGGGCTGCGGGCGGAGCGAGTGAGCAGGTGTGTGTGCAAGGCCCCGCCCAGCACCAGGCATGAGACAGGGGCCTCGTGGCTGCTGGCCGCTGGAGCCGGGTGTGGCAGCAGGTCACCCCAGATCTCCAGCCCATCTCTTGGTCTCCCGGAAAGCAGGAAAGGACGCTGTCAGGATGGGGCTGGGGAGAAGCTAGGGCTCTGTCCCCGCGGGGCGTTGTTTAAGTGCTGGAAAGTGGTTCACAAAACCCCTTAGATGGAAAGTGCTCAGGGGCCGGCGCTGTGGCACAGAGGGTTAAAGCCCCGGCCTTAGCACCAGCATCCCATATGGGTGCTGGTTCGAGTCCCAGCTGCTCCACTTCCCAACCAGCTCTCTGCTATGGCCTGGGAAAGCAGTGGAGGATGGCCCAAATCCTTGGGTCCCTGTACCTGCATGGGAGACCTGGAAGAAGCTTCCGGCTTTGGATCTGTGCAGCTCTGGCTGTTGCAGCCATCTAGAGAGTGAGCCACTGGACAGAAGACCTCTCTCTCTCTCTCTGCCTCTCTGTAACTCTGTCTTTCAAATCAATCAATCAATCTTAACAACAAAAGTGCTCAGGAATGTAGGAACACTAAAGGCAACACTGTCCCCCAATTCTGAGCGAGCACAGCCAGGGGGAGCCTGGCGCCAAGAGGGCCGTGGGAGTTGTCCCGTCACACCAGCTGTCCAGAGGTCTCCAGCCAGGACGCCACGACAGTCACAAGGTTTTTAACACAAATGCCTACGTGCTGCAGCTGCAGGGGGTGGCCACGAGGCCCCTGACCGCCCTCAGTGCACTCGGGGTGCTCTGGTGACAACTGTTTACAGTGGCCAGCAAATAATGGGTGCCTGCTGTGTCCGTGTGAGACACTGGCTCCTGGCTTCTGCTGGTTCAGCCTCACACACTCCTGTGAGAGAGGCGTGGCTCTCCTAGTGCACTGAAGACCGTGAGGGACATGATGTTCCAAGAGCCACACAGCCCGAGCGGGCAGCTGGCACACAAACCCAGGAGGAGCACGGCAGCAGGCGGGGACGCAGGCTCTGCCCCGACTCCAGGCCCTTTACACCTGGGTGCCACGCGAGGCGGGCCGAGGGGAGCAGTGGCAGCCACCGCTCGCGGACACGGCGAGGGCACGCAGGAGCGATGCGGGGCTGAGCCCGACCCTCAGCGGCAGGGAGGGGCAGGCACCGTTAGGGTCGTGGGCTCAGCCCAGCTTTTCCTGCTTCACAAGAACCCAGACCTAACCTAAAACATTTACTGTGCAGATCCTGGCAAATGGACGGCCCACCACCCAGCAGGCAGTGGGAGCGAGTGGCAAGGCAGCCGGGGTGGCGGGCGGGGCGCGGTGGGGGCAGCCTGGGGCCGTGCAGGGTGTCGCTGCAGGCCAGCACAGGGCCTTGTGGAGTCACCCCCGAGGGGCTGCCCTGGAAGGAAAATGATTCATCACGCACACAGTCAAAGCCAAGAGGCGCTTGGAGCTCTGTTTTCCAGACACCGACACCGTGCCCCTGCCGCCATGGCGGCAGCACGCCCCAGTACCCCAAGTCTCCACCTTCGTGCCAGGAGTGCTCGCGTGCTACCAGATCCTGCAGTGAAGGGCGCCTCGACCCGAGGCCACAGCCGGGCAGCCCGGATACTTACAGGGGCTGACGTCTCTGTACCTGTTGCGGTTTTTGTTCTTAGGGAGCTTGGCCACTCTGCAAGGGAAGTCGCTGGCTTCATGGCGGATGTCCTACGAGAAAGCACAGAGTTCTCTCCTGGAACCCCTGGCAGCAGGCACACGTCCACCGTTTGGGGGGGCGGCGATGCGGCTGAAGGAGGGCAGAGGTTTGGGGAGGGTGGCGTTTCACTCAGGAGCCCCTGGCGGCCAAGGCAAGGGCACTGGAGAGCCGGTGCGGCGCCAGGAGCTGCAGGGGGTGATGGGAAGGCGCGAAAGGCGGCTGGGGACACAGGGCCCGGCCAGTCCCCAGCAGCAGCAGTGCCAGGCCTGGGAGTTCCAGCCACAACCTTCTGCAAAGCTACAGCTGTTAGAGCAGACGAAACACAGCTTCCTGTCAACTCAGCAGCCCTCTGCTTTCCTGGGACGTGGTAAACGAGTCCCCCCGCCCCAGAATTCGGAGAAGCCTGGGCACCGGTCTCCTGCCAGACGGACCACAGTGTTCAGTGCCGCTCTCAACACCGCTGGAGCCCAGGGAACAAACGCCTTTGATCTGCAAAGAGCAACAAGGCCGGAACAGCCTTCCTGCCGCTGAGCGGTACGCCCCGGATCACACACACAGGACAAGCCCACAAAGGGAGGGCAGGGGACAGAGGCTGGACGTCAGCCCACGAGGTGTGGGCGGGCATGTGTGGGGCGGCACAGCCCATCCCCCGCCACCACCCCATGTCCTTGAGGGCTCAGGAGGCGCAACCTCGTCCTGGGGTGGGGTGGTGCTGCCCCCAGTGGCCGGGTCACCACCTCCACTCCCTCCCACGCCAGTGCGCAGCCACCTGGAGATCCGTTTGAGAACACATGAGCAAGGAGGCCTCTGCCCAGCAGCTGGTGTGGCACAGTGGACAGTGCAAGCGCTCTGCCACAAGAGCTGTACAAGCCGGCCCCCAGGACCCCGTGTCCCCCTTCCCTGTCACAGTCACACTGCGGGCAGGAGGCTGAGCACTGGATGATCCAACCAGACGAGGAGGGACTGATAGCATCGTCACCTCGGTCTGCAGACGCCCACTGGTCCCTGGCACCCACTCGGGGCCCTCACTTTCCCCGTGAGCCTCTACTCCCCACAGTGTACACACACCCCTGTGGGGAAGGGACCCCAACAAAGTCTCAGAAACAAAAACAAAAACCAGGGCAAACCCCTTGGAGGAAACAAGCTGCAGAAGAAATATTTAAAATATGTGCCATTAATATCCTCAGGCAGGAAAAGGCTTGTTACTTGTATCTATGAATTAAGAACAGGATGCCATAAAAAACACACAAGAATGTCTCTTGGACCGTAAGAACAAGACAGCAAAAACAACAAGTTCAAAGGAAGACGCAAGTAACCTGAGGGGGCGCTGCGGTGCAGCAGGCTGAGCAGCAGCTTGGGACGCTCGCATCCCACACGGGGTGACGGGGTGCCCGACTGCGTGCTGCCCCCCCCCCCCCGGAATCCAGCTTCCTGTTAATGCGCCTGGGAAGTCAGCACTCGGTCCTCACCTCCCACGCGGGAGGCTCAGATGGAGTTCCTGCCTCTGGCCTGGCCCAGCACTGGCTGTGGCGGGCATTTGTGGAATACATGGAAGACCTCTGCCACTCTGCCTTTCGAATGAATAAACCTTCGGGGAAATGACAAAAGTAAAGCCAAAGAAAAAATTCAGAAAATTCAAATAAAGATAAGAGGTAAGAAACCACCAAAAATAATTCAAGGAAATTTCCCAGACTATCCAGTGCGGCTTCCGTGACAAACAAACCCATCCCAAGGCACATGAGTGAGCAACTCCAGAATCCTGCAGACACAGAGCAGGTGCTGTAAACTTCCAGGAAGAAAACACCACTCCCTTTCAAGAGGTGAGGAGATGACGACAGCTTCAGACTTCGCAGGAAGCACGGGGCCGGCCAGCCACGAGGCAGTCCCTCACAGAGCGCAGAGCAATGCTCCCTCCTGGAATTCCATACCCAGCCCAACAGTCACGCAGGACAAGAGAACCCTCCCCAGGGGCAGCCCCGAGCCTGAGCTCGACCTCAGCAGTCCACCAGCACTGGCTTCTACCGAGTGAAGGCGGAGCCAAGAACTAAACAGACGGAGGACACGCAGGGGTTAAAGCAGAAGATCCTCCGCAAGGCAGAGGCAAAGGAAATTTCCACAGAAACCGCGCAGACGGGCAGTTTCCTGCCAGGATGACTCAGGGGAGTGCGTCCACGCCCCGCCCTCTTCTGCCACAGGAGCCGTGACCCTGCCAAACTCCCGGAGGGCAGACAGACCTGACATCCAGGAAGCGGGATCCAGAAGAGAAGCACGGACCAGGAAGTCTCGAGGTGACAGCTGTGTGGCAGGTGACAGAGCACCACCCAGACACAGAGAACACAGGTTTCTAGGCGTGAGGTCTGCAGGGACAACCCGGAGCCCGAGAGATCGCCTCCCTCCACGCTGCAGGCACCACACAGCGGATCCTGAAAACCTGGCGCAGGAAGGAGAGCTCTCGGCTCTCTCGCTGAGCCAACACTTGGAGCACACACTGCGAACGCCGTCTCGTCAAGGACACGGCACAAGTCCACACAGGTGGGCTCGGGGACTCCGCCTCCTGGTGACAGCCCAGCCATCTTACTTTGTGTTAAGTCCACGCTGATGGTCACACACCTACGGACACAGGACTGCACTGGGCGCTCCCTCTGCTTGTGCTGCTGGTTTTACTGTGACTGCTAGAGAGGCGAGGTACCTAAGGGGCTGCACCACGTCTCTAGTGGACAGCAATCAGTAATCTTGTGGAAACTGCTCAGAGAAGCTACAAGAAAATACGGGAAGAATCAGCAATAGGCACAAAGAAAACAAGAACTTATTAACAATAGGAAAACATTTAAGAGGCTGGAATGGTGTTGTAGTGTGTTAAGCCTCGCCTGCACTGCTGACATACCATAGGAGGTACCACATGAGTACTGGCTCCAGTGCCAGCTGCTCCACTTCCGATCCAGCTCCCCGCTAACGCACCTGGGAAAGCAGCAGAGGACGGCCCATGTGCTCGGGCCCCTGCCATCTAGGAGGGAAGGAAGTCGAAGCTCCTGGCTTTGGCTTGGCCAAACGCTGGCTGTTGCAGCCATGTGGGGAGTGAACCAGTGGATGGAAAAATACACAAACTCTCTCTCTGTAACTGCCTTTCAAACAAATCTTTTAAAATACACATATACATACACATTAAACATACGTATATATTTACATATATGAAAAACAGTACAGCACACTATCCTTGACTACCACAGGCAAAAATGCAGATAACAAAAAGTGAGCATATTGGGGGGGGGGATAGAGAGGCTATAACGGCTGGCTATATAAAAGAAACTGACCCTCTACCTTAACAAAGGGTTACCTGAGTGGATCAGAGGAGAGAGGGAGGGACAGACAAGCCCAAGTCAGCCCCTCAGAGCTGAAGACAGCTGTCCACAAGGAGAGGGCAGGGACGGCAACGCCCGGGTCCTACCATAAACCCACGGCAGCACCGTCTGCCTTGTAAGCCACATCATGTTCAAGTGGATCTCAGAAGAATGCCGCAGTCTGCTACCCCAGTGATTCGTTTACGCAAGTATATGCTGGCAGGGAAGAGTTTGTGACTCCTGGGCGGTGGCTGGTAACTGAAAAACACCGTGGCCGACTGTAAACCAACCAGCGATCAGACAGCGTCAGCCGCTAGCGTGCTGCTACTGCTGACACACACCCATCACACCACCAGGGACTGGAGGAAGCCCGCAGGGGAACCGCAGAGAACGGACACCAGCCCCAGGCGACAGACATCCGAGCCCTGGACCCACTGCTCCGCCTTTTATCTGGAAGCACGCGGCAGCAGGTGCGCACTCTGCCCTGGGAAGGGACACAACCTGTTCAGTCAGCAGGTGCAGCCGAGTGAAGACAGAGCAAGTACCTGCTACGGATCAGCCCCAGGCTAATGGCATTTACACTGAGCAGATATTAGCATGTCAAGAGAGGGAGAGGAGGGGAGGGGAAGAGAGCGAGGTGGAGAAATGCAACCTAGAGATGTCACTTACTAGACCCTGGCAAAACGAGAGGTATTTGCACAACACTCTAGAAGATGGGGTGAAGGGCTGCAGTGTGGCGCAGCAGGTTCAGCCCCCATAGGCAACAGTGTCCCCTGCTGCAGTGCAGGTTCAGCCCCACCTGCTGCGCTTCTAAACCAGCTTCGGGCTAATGCACCCGAGACGGCAGCTGACGACAGGCCAAACGACAGGGTCCTTGCCCCGCTGTGGACACCAGGATGCTGCTGCTAGCCGCTGGCTTTGGCAGCCACTTGGGGAGTGAACCAGCAGGTGGAAGACTCCTGCTCCTGTCACTCTGCTTTCAAATACTCACTTAAAAATTATTGAAAATGTATACCCAGAGTAAAAAAGATAGATATTGCCTTCAATAAAGTTTTTGAGCCAACTTTAAGGTATAATTTACAAATCATAAAGTGTGCCCTTCAGTGCGTTCCGAGCAATGCTGCACCCACGTGCCCATCGTTTCCAGGGGAAGCCTCCCTTTTCTTCCTGATCTTGTTCATTTGTGGCTTTTATCTTGGCCAGTTTGGGTAGGGATTTATCGATTTAACTGATCTTCACAAAGAACCAGCTTTTATTTAAATGATTCTTTATTGCTTTATATTTCGCTGACTTCTACTGAAGTACTACTTCCTTTCTTCCTACTTTAATTTTATCTTTAAAGATTCTTACGATAGAAGCTTATATTTCAAAATTTCTCTAATACAAACATTTCAAAACTTGGGATTCTCATTTTATATGAAGGTGGGGGTGAGATCTTCCATCCATTGGTTCATTTCTCAAGTGCTGTAACAGCCAGGCTGGGCAGGAACAGAGCCGGGAGCCGACTCCATCAGCTTTCCCAGCCGGTGGCACGGACCCAAGCGCTGGGGCACCACGTGCCGCCTCCCGGAGTGCATGTGACAGGACGCCGACCTGGGAGCGGAGTGGCTGGGATGCTGTCCACCCGATGGCCATCCACGACCTTTATCTCCTCTCTCGGAGGCAGAGCGCGA